GCCCCGAGTGCTCACTGGAAGGACAGATCCTGAAGCTGAGGCTCCAATACTTGGCCACCTCATGAGAAGAGAAGACTCCCTGGAAAAGACCCTGATGTTGGGAAAGATGGAGGGCACAAGGAGAAGGGGACGACAGAGGACGAGATGGTTGGACAGTGTCCTCGAAGCTACAACATGAGTCTGACCAAACTGTGGGAGGCAGTGGAAGACAGGAGTGCCTGGCGTGCTCTGGTCCATGGGGTCACGAAGAGTCGGACACGACTCAACGACAACAACAACAACAGAGAAACCTTTGCCGTAGGGATAGTTTAGGTGGTAGAGCATGAGACTCTTAATCTCATGGTCGTGGGTTCAAGCCCCACATCAAGCCCCTTCCTGCATTACAGAAAGTTGGATCCTTGTGATCCCTGTGTATATCACTGCATACAAAACAATCTACTCAGAAGACAGAGAAATCTGGAGAAAACAAGTCCACTAGTTGAAAGACAGTGATACTTTTGTGTTTTCTAGGGACAAAAGAACCAAAGCATAATGCATCGGCCCTACCCCACTTCTGAAATCTCTTCATAGAATCATAGAACTGTTAGAATTCAAGGGACTCTGAGGGGCATCTAGTCCAATCCCCCTGCAATGCAGGAACCCACCAATCTTCTGGTTAACAGCCAGACACACAGACCCCTTGCTCAATAAGATGTGCAGCACTAACTGGAGATCCAGAGTGGTATATTGAGATGGGAATGCTTGATGAGGACTGGGAAGACTTAAGTTGAAATCACCACTCAGCCATTAAGCTTGTTGGTGGTTGACTTTGTGCTTGGCACTCTCTCAACCTAACCTACCTCCCAGGTTGTTGTGATGATAAAATGAGCATATACATTGCTTTGAGCTCCTTTGAGAAAAAGGTGGGGTATAAATGAGCAAGGACACTGAATAGGTGAAGAACAATAAATGCATTTTTCAGCATTTAGTTCTAGACAATTCGTTTCAGTGCAATAAACACACAGTTCTTATCCATTTAACTCGCAAGCAATTAAAATGCCTTCTAAAATGTGCTTATTCTGCAGCGATATTGCATTATTTAAGTGCTCAAGCTAGTGTTTTGTCGGTGGAAAAATGAGGTTTTTCTCCACAGGTAGTGTATCCATTGCTGCCGCAATTTCTCTGTACAGCATGACTGCTAGTTTTGTTAGCTATTGTCTAAGAGGCATCCTTTGTGTTATTGTCTACATATAGACAGCCACATAACTCCTACCCACCGTACTCCTACACACATCCATTCTATTTGTCACTCAATTTGAAAATATATATATTATCAGCAATTTTAGTGCTTGCGTTTTCCTCAGAGTGCTATAATGTACTTTTCTACATGGTGGCAGCGCCACATAGAGAAGAAAAATAGCAACTATGCTGTGTGAAAGAGACATACGATATCATCCAAACCGTGAGCTTATGCAGCCATGTTCTGGTACTGTGTAGTTATGAAAATGTTCCTTTTGTCATATATATATATATATATATATATATATATATATATATATATAGCATATTGAACTAGTCTTCTGAATGCTCCAATACGTTTTTGCTGGTCTGACCAGTAGACAAAGCGAAAGAGATAAAGGTTCCAGTGGTGCTCTCATTCCGAGAAGAAGATCGGATGCTTTAGCCTTGCCTTATGGTGTGTCCTTTGGTGACGGAGATGGGCAAGCAGGGGGAAGGGTGTTGTGTTGTAAAATATGTAAACGTTTCAGTTCTGTGCCCGGCTCCAAGGGTCTAGGACAGCAGTTCTTGGGGGAGGAGGAGGAAGCTGAAAGAGAGGCTCAGAAAATGCGCCTGTCCTTTGTTCTTGGATTTGGATGTGTCAGGAGGGGCCATGGAAATTTTTGGAACTTAGACACTAAATGGAGCTCACAGCAGGTGCTTCATCTGGCATGAAGAGGACAAAAGGACGGGTGGGGAAGTGTTTGGAGTGGACAATTGCAGCTCAGCATGTCCTGAGTGTGTCAAATCCCTCAGCTTCCATGGAGCTGGTGCCTCATCCATAGTGGTCCAGTTTTTTCACAACCAGGCTGTGCATATCAAAGGGGCCTGATCTCCCAAAAGGGATGAGGGAGTACAAAAGAGTTGGGGCAGAATGGCAGCTCGGATGGGAGGTGCTACATTTGCAGGAGGTAATAAGGGCAAGGTAGGCCGCAACTCAAAATATGCTTTCAAATGGTCACAGAAAATCACGCACTGAGTTATCCCAGAGCCGTTATTGTACAATATACATTTAGTAATACAAGGTAGAGACATGCGTGAAGACTTTTCCTCCCAATTTATGCAGACCAGTTAACTCCACCTACTCACAAACTGATTGCCACTTTAACACGTTTGTTATGTGGTTATTGAATCCTCAAAGAACCCTGTTGGTTCCTGAAGTGAACCCATATTAGGTTGGTGGTTGAAGACCAATTATATTTTTGTCAGTCTCCCCATCATTTTGGGGGTAATCCTGGGCTCATGTTTCACATAAAATCCATAATTCTGTTCCACCCAATAACTGGAACATATTAAATGCTTAAAGATGTGTTATTATCACCTCTTTCAGATGGGGGATTGAGGCTGAGAGAATGTGTCCCTGGTTCACAGCTCAATCTCATAAACATAATACAACCCTATTTATCTGTTCTCATCTATAATTTATCTATTTGCATAATCATTGAAAGGACTATTTGTATATTTAATTTATTTCTTAAAATTTATATACCACTTGATCGTTTACAAAAGCGCTTTCAAAGTTCACACAGATGCTCCTTGGGAGATTTTGAACAAGAGTGAATTATAATTGCAATAAAACTCTTAATAGAGAAATGTCTGAGGAGAAAGAATTGAGAGCATTCAAAAACAATGCAGGAGATAGTAATGATAGCAAGTGTGTGTGTGTGTGTGTGTGTGTGTGTGTGTGTGTGTGTGTGTACATACATCTGAGTCTCCAGCAAGAGAAACCTGTGTAAGCCAAACCACACATGAAGAGGCACAGCTTTAAACCCCTCCCATATTCTTATTTTAGATATCAGAAGTATTTGCCTCAGCATTTATTTATAAGACTTAAATCTGAGCTATTGGAAAGAAGCCAAGGGACTGTAGGCATTTTGTTAATCTGTTTCTTTCTTTCTATGATGAGACATAGAGCAACAACATCAGAGGCAGCAAAAACTGAAAGGAGCAAGGTCAGAAAAGAGAATTGTTGCAGAAGTAAAATTGTTTAATGTGTGAGAAAAGAAGGCTAGCTTCTGACACAGGCTGAAAATGGGGAAAGCAAAGACAAGTTGTAAAGAGAAAATGAGGTCCCTAAATCCAGTTGTGTAGTCTAGTAGCCATTATTCCTGTATCTTATTTGGGCTTGTCTACACCAAAGTAAAATGTGGATACTCATCTCATTGTTCTCCTGGACTAGATGACCATCACGATTCCTACCAGCTGTACGATTCTGTGATTTTATGGTGGAATCTACACATAAAAAACTCTGTGAAAATGCTTTTTTAAGAAAGTTTTGGAAAATATATTGAATTTGGCATAGCTCACTGGTGCCATCTAGTGCCAGATTTGTATATTGCACTTTACAACACATTTTAAAACGTTTTATTTGAAGTTGTATGTCCTATGTCAAAAATGCAGCAAGGTTGTTTTCCTCTGCTGTGTTTCAAGTCACATTTGCACATGGCTGTACACACCAGAGAGGGGGTGGGGATGTTTTCACCCGATGCACATTATCAGTTTAGTTTCCTTGCCCCTCCAAACCACCACTCTCCAACTCATTTTCATGAAGCGGTCATCTGCACAATGGCTGCCTCAAATGTACACGCCTCAGTTTAGCTGCAAAGGGAATGTGGATTAAAGGCTCCCCCACACTTCTGCTTGCCCCATGATTTCCAGGCACAGGTTCAAGAGATTTTTCAACGGGTTTTCCCAGGGATAGCAGCGGGACAAATGAAAAACCTCTCAGACCTGTGCCTGGAAATCGTGGGGCAAACGCAAGTGTAGATGAGACTCAAAAAACCACAATATAGTTCTGCATAGTGTGTAATGTTCTGTGTACACGGATTCAAAGGCCATCAGTGGGACCGCCCTGGAGCCAGAGTAGATGGCAATGTGCACACAGCCATTGATTGGGAAATGAAATCACAACAGAACAAGACTGTGAGGGTGGGCCCACCATTCTCCTGAAGTTTCCACTAACTTATCTGTGCAAAAAGAAGCGGGGGGGGGGGTTATGTAGTTGCAGCAGTGACTCAGCTGGGAAAGAAAGGCAACTCGCTGTTTGTTGCTGGGATCTTATTATCAACCAAACCCCCATTGGTTTCGTCCATTGTTTTTTGTACCGCTCTTAAAACTATTTTTAGCTCTTTTATGGCATGTCTGTAAATCAACTTTTGGTGCTTGCCAGCGTAACGAGGGCCTAAAATATTACTGCAAAAGAAAAACACCATTCCCAGGTAATGCGACAAAGCTGCTTTTCATAGTCGCATGCATATGACAAAATTAAAACAAATATATAGTGCTGTTAGATGGGAGCCTGGCTCAGCTTGGATAATTTATTTCTAGATACTAGAAATGTGTGGCGAGAGTAGAACAGTATGCTGAGTTGTGACTTGCTCTGCAGTATTTTTGCTCTCTTTAAATGTTCCACTTGCCACATACTGAGTAAACTGTTGGGGAACAACAGCAAACATTTTTGCTTCAAAGGCAGCATTTTTCTCCTTGTGAAATGTGCCTTATCTAATGGGTTCACGTGTGAAATACCTTAGGCTGCTGTTATCAAGCACAAATCTCACTCCCGCTTCAAAGTGATAGGAACAAAGTCTCCCCTGTGCAGCTTCTAAAACCCACAACTGGGTTTTGCTGTGGGTTTTGGATGCTGCAGTACACAGCTAGAAGTGTACTCCATCTAATTAAAGCTTTTACTAAAGTGCCTTCAGGGCTTAATTTCAGCCAAAGCCCCTACGGAAAAAGTCCATTACCTCTTTTAGATTTTAGAGGTCAGCTGTAAATAGGTAGAGGCCTCTGTGCATGTTCAAAGCGAATTATCCTCATCACAGATCTAGAATTAGAAAAAAAGGGCTTTCAGGTCAGATGGTACACTTTCCAAGCAGCCTTGAGAAATTGAATATGCATTTGTCAATTGACTAAATGTTTGTCAATTTGGTAGAAATGTCAAAAACAATAAAATAACTGGCATTTCTGAGGAACTGCAAGCAAGGGTGTCCACAGGAATTTTTACAGGGTGGCAGAAGGCAGTAAGCACTCCAAATAAATAAGTAAGGGGGGTGCTAATCAGAGTTAGAAATATCATACTCCTCTCTTTGTTTTCACCTTTTGTTTTTGGGTAGGCACACTAATGTCTAATCACAGCTGAACTAGAATCTGGGATATCTGATTGTTTTCTCTGGGGCAGCAATTATTTCTCTGCTAGGGAAAAGCAAACTGAAATACCTACAAATGATCCAATAAGTTCTTTATCCAGACAATGGGTGTGTCACTCCAACTCCTCTTTGTCTAACTTCTCATCTCCTTTCCTAAATGTCAATCATTGCTATGGCTTCATTCATTGGCTAAAAAAAACTAATGTGAAGCAGGCTAGTTTAAAAAAAAAACCACAAGTGAACAGAATAGTACCTGTATATGTTCGCCTCATCATCTGGGTTCTACAAGGGCTAGATATTTGCTTTTTATTCATTTATTTGTAATAAAAGGGAGGTGGAACCCATGGATTAGGGTTCATCAGGGCAGGAGGCCTTCCCCCTTGTGGGTGACAATAACTGGAAGCTGTAACGACAAAATGAAATAAGTATAACGAAGCAGCACTTTTATATGTCCACCAGTGTTTTAGAGAAACAGAGTTCATAGGGATTCACACCAGCAAACTGCTTTGCATCAGAGACTAATGGGATCAAGAAATGTTATGAAAGAGATTGGGGTTGCGAGAAAAAGCTAACTTAGAATATTAAGAACATAGGAACAGCCTGCTAGATCAGTCTAGTGCAGTATCTTGTTCTTACAATGACCAAATAGATGCCTGTGGGAAACCTGCTAGCAGGACCCAGGAACAAGTGCCCTCTGCCCTCCTGTGGTTTCCAGCAACTGGTATTCAGACACTACTGCCTCTGACTGTTGAGGCACAGCCATCATGGCCAGTAGCCATTGATAGTGATATAGTGGTACCTCGGGTTACATATGCTTCAGGTTACATATGCTTCAGGTTACATATGCTTCAGGTTACAGACTCCACTAACCCAGAAAGTTCTCAGGTTAAGAACTTTGCTTCAGGATGAGAACAGAAATTGTGCTCCGGTGGCGCGGCAGCAGCAGGAGGCCCCATTAGCTAAAGTGGTGCTTCAGGTTAAGAACAGTTTCAGGTTAAGAACGGACCTCCAGAACGAATTAAGTACTTAACCCGAGGTACCACTGTATAAGTAAAATATAACAATAGCCTTTTACATGAATTTGTTCATTCCTCTTTTGGCCATCACTGCCTTCTGTAGAGTTCCATAGTTTAATTATGCACTATGCAAAGAAGCACTTTATTTCATCTGCCCTGAAACTTAAAACAGAATGTGCTGTAACACTTAATTAAAAGTAGAACACAGAAAACCAATCTCATACCAAGATACTACTGAGCCGTTTAGTTCAGTATTTTTGACACCGATTGGCACGCTTTTCTACTGTAGGAGAGTTGCAATAAAATGCTGGTTTATCCCCTAACAATTTAACTACAAGTAAGAACGCTCTCTGTGCCCAAAGGATGCATGCTGATAACAACTCCTTGCGTTTGAAGAAAAGAGAACCCTTCCATTTCGATAAAAAAGGAAAACAACACACATTTTATTCCGGGCTTGTATCCTAGATTTTGAATGTTATGCTGTCCATGTACATTTAGGACGGTGGAAGGCGCTCTACTTTTTCTCTCTCCCAACAGACAGCCAAGCAAGAAAGCAACACGGGGTTCCCTTTTCCTGTTCCCAGTGTCGTCCATTGAATCTTCCATGTTCGGGGCAAGAGCGGCGAGAGCATATTGCAGTCAATGTAAATAAAGTTCATATAAAACAGCACTAGCTCTCCGTGTACATATTTATACGTGCATAGTTGGATAAAAACAGTGTTAGAGACTTCTTTCCGTTGCAGTGCTTTGAGATAAACACGCAGTTTTTAAAAGTTATTTTAGCTGTCGGTGAGTGCAGAAAGGGAGAAGATAGACAGATTTAAAGGAAGAATCCAGTGAAAGTTTTTAAGCAGCGAAAGTTCGTTTTGGAAACTCGGCGATCCTGTCTTTTCCTAATCCACATCATAAGGCTGTTCTATGTACTTCCACCACTTCTGCCCCGCACATGGAGAATCCTAAAAGGTGCAACCGGGAACCGGACGTATAACTGAAATTCTGCAGCGAGCCTCCGCTACCTGTTTCGTTTCTAATGGCACCAGCTGCAGAGACCACGGTGAACAGGGTTTCCCGTAGAGATAGGGAAAAAAGCATGCGCGCCTACACAAACGGACCTGTTTGACTTGTTGCTCTCTCTCGCTCTCGCTCTCTTTGGTTGAGGAGGAGCCATACTGTATTTTGAGCTCCTCCCTTGTCTCCAGCCACGCTCCGCCTTCCCGCTTTCCGAGCCGCTCTAGCCGCCCTGGCCCCACCTCTGTCTCACCGAGGGTGACGGATGCTCCCTCTTTGCTTGAGCGGCCTTTGTCGCTGCTGTCGGCGGGTCGCGCGCGCGCAGTCATGAATAGTCAAGAAGGGTAATGAATATTCATCAGCTCCTCCAGCCCCGGCGGGCCAGAGCATAGCGGAGCGCGCGGGTGGGTGGGTGCTCGGACGTGGCTGGCCGGGACTTTGCCCCTGGGGAGACACTCCTGGTCCGGGCGCAGCTCGCTCATGGCTCCCAGGGCAGCAGCGCCGGGAAGCGCCCGGTGAGCGCGGCTTCGGGTTGCCAGGGGCGCGGTGGGGGCGCCGGGCGGAGGGTTTGGGGTGCTGGGCGGAGGTGTGAGGGGATGGTGACCCCCATTTATTAGAAATCAGGCTGTAGAAAAGGAGCGGAGGCTGCAGAGGGGCGAAAAACTCCCCATAAACTGCAGGGTCCTCACGCCCAGGTACTCTGGCTTTGTTTTTTTTTGTTTTTTTAGAGATTTCTGTACAGTACCACCAAAATATTATATATATATATCTATATATCTATCTATATATATATATATATATGCATATGCATATGCATATATGTGTGTGCACGTGTTTGTATTTTTTTGGCGTGGCAGCAGCTAGACTTCGGAACTCCCTGCCTATTGATATCAGGGCAGGTGTTTTCACTGCTGTTTTGGGGGTCTGCTTAAAACATTTTTGCATAGACAGGCCTACCCAATATATGTAGGGCGTTGGATGTGTGTTTTAATCTGTTTTTAGTTCATTTTAATTTAGTTTTGAAAGTTTTAAATTGTTGTTTTTACCAATAATTTTAATGTTTAGTTCATTTTCGTAAACTGCTTTGAGAGTTCTTTTTTTTTCTTTTGCAGTTGAGCGGTGTATACATTTTTTGACGCAAAGAAAGAAATAGTGCTTAATAAACAAAATCATTAAAATAATCCACGCCAAGTTATATAAACAGGATAATTAAAAACACCCTAAAGGTGATGCAACCCATTTTAAAGTAAACGCCCAGCAAAAAAGGTGGGTTTCTATCTGGTGTCTGAAAGAATACAAAGGGCAGTTGCAGGCTGTCCCCCTTTTGGGGTGGGACTGAGTCGCATACCAGTAAATTCAGGTTGCACAGTTGTAACTGATAGGGAGGTCTTGAGGACCAAATCCGCTTCCTCAGTAGATCAGACTTTTGTGATAGGGACAGTAAATGAGGAAAATGGACTAGGACGTTTGAGATAACTTGCTCTAATGCAACGTCATATCAGGCCCCCTGCAAACAGATCAGAGTAAATGCTCATTAAACATTGCCTAATCTCCCTGCAAACAAATCAGGATGAATGCTCAAGAAATGCCCATCTGGAAGTACTTGTAGGAACTACCCCTGAGTTTGCCAAATTGCCCCTTAAATCCATCTGAGTGGGTGGTCATCACCACACTCCCGTGGCAGTAAATAGGTAGTACACTTAAGGTGCTCAATGTGCTTCAGGTACATTCTTTCTTTGTAATGTTTAAAACAGCCCTGTAAGGTAGGTCAGTGCTATTATCTCAGTGTTGCATATGGAGCTGTAGAGGCTAAGAATCTATTGCCTAGTAAATTTGTGACCGATGTCGACTGAGACTTCCTGGTTCATAGCTGAGTCTGTTAGCTGCCTCACTACATTGCACTACACCTGTCAGTATTCATTGAAGAATGTGATATGGTACCAACATGTTTGAGATTACCAAAGGGTGGCTTGAGGGTGTTAAGGGGTGCATTAAGTGTTTTCAAATCTAGGTGAGGAATTATGGGGCACCTCTGGAATGAAGGGCATCCAGGAGGTTCAAATAGTATAATGGTCAATGCTAAGAATGCACATGGTACCCGAGATAGCTTAATGTGGATTATTTGCCCATTAAGCATGCTTTATAACCACTCAGGTGTGCTCATAATTATGTATAAATGTAGTAAGCAGTAGCTTTCACAGGAGTCTTTCTTACAGGTGAAATAGATATTCTGTTTGTGAGCACTTAACTGTGATTGATGGTGGTAATCATCCCAGATAAAAATATAGGGCCTGATTTAATTAAATAGTCGCACCAGCAGGAGCCAGCACACAAGGCCTATTAGTACAAGCGGACTTCCCCCTTCTCCCTCCCTCCCCGGCCAGATTGGCTCTGCAGGGCCAGAAGAACCCCCAGAATAACAGCAGGCAGGAAAAGGAAACATGGTTCTACCTGACAAGCTGAAATGTTTTCCCAGACAGAATGATTGCAATAGTGCAATGTTGAATTGTACCCACAGACTCCAAGGGTATCATCGGCCTCATTCAAATTCAGTACCTGCTCTTTACCAGCAGGTCCCAGCGTGGGTTACAGCAATTTAAAATTCAGAATTAAACAGCTAAAATAGGGTGGGACCTGAAAATACAAATCTCAGATGTCAAAGACCAAGGCAAAGAGCATTTGCTGAAAGCTGTATAGTGAAAAAGCAGGAAGAGGAGACAAGAGTTAGGAAGAAAAGATGGAAAGGAAATTAGGAAAGAGATAAGCTTTGGAGTTGAGAGGGAGGTTATGGGAGTTCTGGGGCTATCATATGACTGCTATGAAACTTAATCATGTTTAGGTTTAGAAGACTTGTAGGTGAGATGCCCAATGGAACATCAGGCTAACGCAAAGAGAGAATGAGATCCCTCAGTAAGGCCATAGGGCAACCACTGAAAATAACGAAACAGAAACAAGAACTCGGGACACAATGGTGGTATTCACAGGACAGTCACTCCCATGTGCTTAGGAAAGAGGAGCTGAAAATAATATTTAAAAAGCAAAGGAATCAAGCTTAGGTATTCATCCTTTCATATCTCCCATGAAGAGTTTTGCATCTCTCAGCAAAACCCTCCCAGTGAACTATCAGAAAGTAACAATGACATTTTAACTTACAGTTTGAGCACAGTTTGGCTTATCTGTTTATTTCAGCTACTTGAAAGAAAGTTCTTCTCGTTTCAGTAGTGTAAGTAGAATAAAACTAGTAAAGGTGGCAAATCTGTTTGGAACATTTCCTTAGATGCTGGTGCTGCAGGTTTCTTGCAGTTGGAAGTAGGAAAAGTGTGTGATGCAGGGAGGGAGTTGCGGCAAAGAAGAGTTGTATGTGATGCAGGGAGGGAGTTGCGGCAAAGAAGTTAAATTTATGGAAAGCTTAATTTAAGCTTCAACAAATTAGTTGAAAGATCAAGTCACACAACAGGTTATATTTTCCCAAGGAGAAACAAATAATTCCCCCATTGATCCCTGCATTTGCTTAGGAAGACGGCTGTGTGGGGCTCTTTTTGTTACTGTGAAGAATTATAATTTTTTCACATATTTTATTTTTCATTTATTTATTGCACTTCTATCCCACCTTTTTATTCATGGGGCTCCAGGTGGCATACACGGTTTTCCTCCTCATTTGTTCCCCACAACAACACTGTGAGAGGTAGTGACTGGCCCAAGATCACCCAGTGAGAGCTTCATGGCTGAGTGGGGATTCGAACCCTGCTCTCCCAAGTCCTAGTCCAACACTCTAACCACTACACCACACTGTCTCTTTCCAGCATACTATGCACTAAGATCCTGAAGGAAGAATAGCATACACATCTGATGGTTAAAATTCCACAAGGCTCTTCCTTGTCTGAATCTACCCTTAGATTCCTTCCTGGTATAGACTCAGAACCCACACAATGAGCTCTGGGTTTCTTTTCTAGAGCACTTTAGTACATTTCCAACTGAGGATACACCTCTGGCCTTCAAAGAAAAGTTCCATGCTGACAGAGAGGATTCTTCATTATTGCCGTAGGGTAGATTACTATTGGAGTATCGGGGTGAAATCATTTCAAGGACGATTCCAGAATTTCATTTGGTTACAGCCAGTCTAAACTGAGCAGACCTTTGTGTGTGGCTTGCATGCTAGCTCGATAACCTGGCTGTTTTTGAATCTGTTCCTTCCAGGCCTCGGCCCCAGCTGGACCGGCAGTTTCTCCAGCGTTTTCTGAAGATCCAAGAAATTTTATTTCCTGCATGCTGCTCCAAGAATGCACTGATGTTCCTAACCTTGCTCATGGTTGCTCTGTTGGGTAAGTGAGTCGATGGCTAAGAAGGATGATATCAAGCAAGTCCTTTTGTGATGTGCCAGGACTCTTGTCGATGTATATGGGAGCACCCTTGGAGTTCATCCCTTTTCTCTTCCCCACCCTTTACCTCCCCTAGAGCAGCTGGTCATTTATCAGGTGGGATTGATTCCCAGCCAGTATTACGGAGTTCTGGGGAACAAAGACTTCCATGGATTCCAGCAAGTGACAGCAGTTGCACTGATTCTTATTCTACTGAACGCTATGGTAAGTGAAACCTCTTCTTCCTACAAGGAGATGAGAGCACATGCAATGCAATTTGTCATGGATGCTTTAGTGGAGATTCCTGCATTGTACAGGGTTGGACTAGATGACCCTTGAGGTCCCTCCCACATCTACAATTCTATGATCCCGTGATACTGCCTTGCTGTGCACATGTGTATCCTGAGGGCCAAACGACATGCTAGCTAACGACTAATCACACTTTTTAAAGGTGTGCTTAACGTTGTCACTTTTATTTTGTTCATTTATTTTATTTTAACTGTTAAAGGTCTTCATTTTACAAATAACATTTTTTTTTTGTAATGTTTCCATCGTGTGATAACTTTGGGCTACTTTATTACCTCACAAAAGTGGCTATCCCCAGGGATGGTGCAGTTAAGCCAGGACAGTCAAGTCACCGATTCCAGCCATAGCAATTCAAAAGATTCTAAGGCACATCTTCATCTTGCGAACTGCCCTAAGATCTTGTGATAAAGGGTGACATAAAACAACAATAACAACTCTTCCCTCACAGTTTCTAAGCTGCGATGGAAAAAGCTAATCTGGCTTGGGCCTCTTAGCACTGCTTTCTGGCCACTCTGTCCTGGAAGGTGCTGTTTACTGTAAACCCGCCTGGACTGTTAGCTGTTGTGAAGAGCTTTTTATGTCAGCAGCCAGACAAGGGGGGATTCATCTAATGCTTTAAATCAGTTGCTTTGAGCAGAGGATGCCTTCAGACTAGAAGACTTTATTTGGGTCAATGTGTTCATGCAATCCATGGCTGGGGAATCTCTGGGCTGCGGGTTAAATTAGCCCCACCAATTTCGCATGCCCATTCCATTTGTTATCGGTGGGGCTTATATCTCACGCTGTTTAAATTTGGTGCAAGCCTGCTGGGATTGGCTCCGCTCAGGAAGGTGGGAACATACCCACTTGATGTCATATGACATCGTAAGTTCAGTTGTTGGACCACAAGAGTAGCCATAAATGCTTTTCTTGCCTTATTCTCATCTTCTCTCCCCATTGTGAGTCTCACTTCTCTCTCTTTTCAGCTGAAGAGCTTTGACCAGTTCATCCGCAACCTGATGTATGTGAGCTGGAGGAAGACTCTCACAGAATACCTCCATGGCTACTACTTTCAGGGCCAGGTGTATTATACCTTGAATATTCGGCATGAGGAAATCGATAATCCGTAGGTGGCTGGACATGATTCGAGCTCCTCCTGGCACTTTCTGGCATGTTTTGTACACCACTCTGCCTTGATGAGGGCTGGCTTTGTTGCTCCCCATATATGTTGACCTGCTTTGTTTTTCTCTCCCTAGGGCAGAGCTTTCCAAACTGTCGGCTGCAATGTGTAGGTGTGTCACACGAATGCTCCCCATGCTCCTCCCAGGGCTGGAAAGGGGTTAGTTTAACCCAGGCATCCCCAAACACTGCCTCCAGATGTTTTGGGACTACAATTCCCATCATCCCTGACCACTGGTCCTGTTAGCTAGGGGTGATGGGAGTTGTAGTCCCAAAAACATCTGGAGGGCCAAGTTTGGGGGTGCCTGGGTTAACCTCCCGTTTGCTAGGAAAATTGAATTACTGAGTCGCAAAATGACGCATGTCTAAAAAGTGTGTCACCAACATGAAAAGTTTGGAAAACTCTGCTCTAGGGAGCCATGGGCTTTTCTTTAGACGCACAGGGAAGTAGTTTGAATATCCAGCCAGATGGGCGGGGCATAAATAATAAAATTATTATAATTATGATGATGATGATTACATTTTGAGTACATGCTCTGTGCTCCAGCCACTGGGTTTTAGCCAGTGTTAGTCCTGCTCAGAGTAGACCAACTGAAATTCATGGATGCAACTAACATTGGCCCAATAATTTTAAAGGGTCTACTCTGAGTAGGGCATAGTTGGCTGCAACCCACCAGGCAAGACTCAAAGCAATAGCTGTGTTAGCAGAAGTCGGCGCAGTGTGTCCCACTAGTGCTACAGGGCTCCTCCCACTGAATGTCCCAACCATTGGCTTGAGTGGGGGTTCAGGAGAACCCCCCAGAACAGCACATAGGGTGGGAGTGGGGGCGGGAATCAGTCTGGCAAGTGGAAATGCTTGGCCTGACAGATTGGACCCCCCCCCCCCAGCACAATGCTGAATTCTACCCACTATATTTAAAACTAAAATGCAAACTGCAACAAACAAATGTGGGGTGGGTTTTTTTGTCCATATCTAATTGGAGATGTGTAAAGAGGCTAACAATAGCAAGATGTGAAAGGGCTCCAGTTATTTAAACTATTGAAATTTAAACTGCTTTAGAGGACAGTTTCCCTGTATTGCTTTAGTTTGCAGTTTATGAAACACTAGAATCACATTAGGACGCTAATCCCTTGAGATTCTAGTTCCTTTGAGAAGTTTTGGACTACATCTCCCATCAGGCCAGGCCAACATGGATGATGGGATTTGTGACCTTGCAACGACTGGATGGCACCAGGTTAGGGGAGGCTGTTGTTTTATAAGACAAAATGGACCTGCTTGTGTGAAAGAAAATTGAAGAGCACTGGTAACTGGATTAAAGTACAATTTGATTAAAGTACAGGCTATCAGACATTGTGGTGTGATACTTGGGTTGCAGCACAATTAGCATTTGCTTTGTTCATAGTATGGAACAACTATAGATGCAATTCTGTAGCTGTTTAGATACCTCGCAAGAGATGGTTAAGGTTGGAGTTGCAAAGGGGAAGCTACAAACAATAATGACTTTATTTGACTTGACGTTGTGCAACAGGAATTCTAAAATGCAGCTTTTGGTTCCTGAAAACAACCAGCAGTTGAATTACTCCAATTCTTGGGTAATGTCAACTCAGCAGTGATTGCAGCAAACTAATACAAAAAACAAGTGCTTGTATAGAGCAGTGGAATCAGTGCTCTGCTGGAGGACTCTAATATTTGAGGAAGGAGAAGATGGAGTGTCCCAACAAGAAGGTTTATAAGATAAGGCTGGAAGGCTCCCCATTGGGGCTGTTGTAACAGCTGATTTCTTGCATGCAGCAGGAGGTTGAATAATAATAATAATAATAATAATAATAATAATAATAATAATATATTATTTATACCCCGTCCATCTGGCTGGGCTTCCCCAGCCACTCTGGGCGGCTTCAAAAAAAATATTAAAATACTGTAATACATCAAACATTAAAAGCTTGCCTAAACAGGGCTGCCTTCAGATGTCTTCTAAAAGTCTGGTGGTTGTAGTTCTCTTTGACATCTGGTGGAAGGGCGTTCCACAGGGCCGGTGCCACTACTGAGAAGACCCTCTCCCTGGTTCCCTGTAACTTGGCTTCTCGCAGTGAGGGAACCGCCAGAAGGCCCTCGGTGCTGGACCACAGTGTCCGGGCAGAACGATGGGGGTGGAGACGCTCCTTCTGACTGACTTTGAGATCCCTTCTGACACTGTGATTCTGTTCCAGTAACCAAACTGGTATTTTTTTCCAGCTGTTGTTTAGCATTGATTTGCAAGCTACCTAATATTTAAAAAAGAAAATACTTCCCCAGCCTTAAAATTGCATAACTGCCCAGCTCTGATTCTGTGTGGACGAACTGTTCTGTTCCTAACATGTTAACTTTTCTTATGCTTTGCTCTTTCTGTCATAGCAGTCCATGCAAATTTAAATCTCCTTTTTATCGTGCAGAGATCAAAGAATCAGCCAGGATGTGGAGAGGTTCTGCAAGCAGCTGAGCTCCATGGCCAGTAAGCTCATCATCTCTCCCTTCACGCTTGCTTACTACACCTATCAGTGCTTTTACAGGTAGGGGCAGTCTTTACCTAGGGAGAGGGATGACCACATGCTTAGGGGCAGCTTTTGTCCCAGCTGGAGTACAGCATAGATGAGCCTCTAATATATTAGAAGGCAGCCTTCCGTTGACAGTTTTGCTAATCTCTCTCCATTTCTCTTGCCTAGCACTGGCTGGATGGGCCCAGTGAGTATTTTTGGATATTTTATCATGGGCACAATTGTTAACAAGATCCTAATGAGCCCCATTGTTTCAAAGCTGGTGCAGCAGGAGAAGCTGGAAGGTGATTTCAGGTGAGTTTATTCAGCAGGTCTCATGATCAGTTTGACCCTGAAAATAGCTATAGTCTGAAATGATGCGTGTGCCACTGTTCTTTTCTCGTTTGCTGGTTGTGATTTGTGTTAAGAGAATCCTTTATAGAAGTCTTCTTAGGATATGAACTTCCAGATAGACTGCTGCTGCTGCTGAAGATGAGGATGTCCATACACATAAACCTGGCTGTTAAGTCCTTTGCTGTCTCTTGCTATAGTAGAGTTCTGTGTCTGCTCTCCAGCCTAAGTGATGTATATAGTTTGGGGAAGGGGCCTTGGCTCAGCGGTAGAGCATCTGATTTATATGCAGAAGGTCCCAGGTTCAATCCCTGGCATCTCCAGGTAGAGCCAGGATAGATCCTGTGCCTGAAACCCTGGAGAGCTGCTAGCAGTCAGTGGTGATAATATTGAGTTCAGTGGACCAGTGGCCTGAGTCATTCTAAGGCAGAAATGAGAATGGGTTTTGGAGAGACGATGATTGCTCAATCCCAAAAAATGACCATTGAAGCAAGTGTTTTCTGGAATTAACAGGTTTAAGCATATGCAGCTACGAGTGAATGCCGAATCCGCTGCTTTTTACAGGTAAGTAAGTGGACGTTTCACTTTTTAGTATCTTTTTTCCTGTGACGCCTTTGGTTCCTGCAAGTGTTGCACGGTGTGTGTTGAAGTGTATCCCACAAACATCTTGGATAATTAGCATTTCTTCCCATCTCCTGTTCCCAGTTGGGCTCCACCTTGGTGGTGTTCAGGTTTGTTTGTTTATTTTTTGTTCTTTGAAGCGTAAGATTAGTAGTAGTAGTAGTAATAATAATAATAATAATAATAATAATAATAATAATAATAATTTATTATTTATACCCCGCCCATCTGGCTGGGTCCCCCCAGCCACTCTGGGCGGCTTCCAACAAAACACTAAAATACAATAACCTATTAAACATTAAAAGATTCCCTAAACAGGGCTGCCTTTAGATGTCTTCTAAAAGTTTGGTAGTTGTTCTTCTCTTTGACATCTGATGGGAGGGCGTTCCACAGGGCAGGCGCCGCTACCGAGAAGGCCCTCAGCCTGGTTCCCTGTAACTTGGCTTCTCGCAGTGAGGGAACCGCCAGAAGGCTCTTGGCACTGGTCCTCAGTGTCCGGGCAGAACGATGGAGGTGGAGACGCTCCTTCAGGTATACTGGACCGAGGCTGTTTAGGGCTTTAAAGGTCAGCACCAACACTTTGAATTGTGCTCGGAAACGTACTGGGAACCAATGTAGGTCTTTCAAGACCGGTGTTAGATGGTCTCGGCGGCTGCTCCCAGTCACCAGTCTAGCTGCTGCAGTATTCATTATCTAGTAGTATTCATCATTACATAGTTCACTTTGATAATTTGGCTAGATAGCCAGATGTCTGTCCATTCTGTTTTCTATTCTCCACCCACACACCAGTTCACCCATTGTTGTTGTTTGTCGGTTACTCGGCTCACAGAACACCCCACAGTTATGAAAGCAAGAAGAGGAGGAATAACACCAGCAGAGTAGGGTGAGGGAAGAAAGGCAAGCAGGAAAAAACAGAAGAAAAACAACACACGCCATGGCTGCTTTTTGCCACATGAGGTCACTGTTGTTGGAAATCTCTCAAGAGTTCAGAAAGTGTGGATTTAGCTGTATCTGTTGGTTGTCTCCTCTTCACACACTTTCCTGGGAGAAGTTGTATTCACGCAGCAACCAATCGCCACCATCCGTTTCTCATCCTCTATATGCGCATACATGCATCTTGCCCCAGGGAACTCTAGGTCCGTGGGAATGATCACTGTCCAGACTGACTGTGCGCTACTGTCCTGCTTTTCAGAGCTGGGGAAGTTGAGCACATGCGAACCAACCGCAGGCTGCAAAGCCTCCTGCAGACCCAGAGGGAGCTGATAGGCAAGGAGCTGTGGTTGTACAGTAAGCAGAACTGGTTTCCTTCATCCCCTCCTTCACTCGTTACACAGGGAAGGAAGCTTCTAGATTTCTGACGTGCAGAAAAGACATCTGGGAAGTGACTATTCAAATGGGAACAAAGAACAAGTTGATGAACCGATGAGGGAGAAAATGGGTTCTATTGGAATCCAGACCCAAAGGGGTCATTCTGGGCCTTCACAGGAGTGCCTAAATAGGCCGAACAACAAGGCCTTGAGACTGAACTCTGGGAAAGAATAGTAGCAGCAAGAAAGTAGGCCAAGCAGCGCTTGGGCCTCGTGGATTTTGCTATCTCAGGCTCTGTCTGCCAGAGGAGCTGTCTAAACATTTTATTATTGAGTACTGAGTGCTGAACTGAAATAGATTGTCCTTCTAACTGACTGTTATTATCTCGAGTAGTACTGTTAACTGGCTTTGTTTCCAGAGCATATGTTCCTGATAAACTTTTAAAACATAACACAAAAAACTGTGTAGATGTAATAATGGAATACTGAATGGTTTAGTTTATGTAAAATATGTAGGGATTTATGATATGCAAAATGAACCATGGAAAGAGAAGGGAAGTCATTGGTATTTTAAGGATGTTTAAATGAGTATTTTAAATTGTAAAACAAAAAATGTAATAAGAATTACACACACACACACACACACACACACACACACACATACACCTGTGTAGATGGAGGTCCTAGATTAACTGATCTGCCGGCCTTACCACTGTATTGTCTTTTTTCTGCTTAGTTGGAATCAACACTTTTGACTATCTGGGCAGTATCCTGAGTTATGTGGTGATTGCTATTCCCATTTTCAATGGAGTTTACGCTGATCTGGATCCAGCAGGACTGAGCTCTTTGGTTAGCAAGGTAAGCTTTTTGCAGCATCATAGCTCGGCGCTAGAGCACATAGTGTTTTGCATGCAGAAGGTCCCAGGTCTAATATTCCTACACACTGACCTGTGATGTCCTGTAGGCTGTAGTGCCAGGAGTAACATTTCCTCCGTGATCTTACTGGTCTACAGGGAAGAAATTGGTCCTTCATTTAACCTCACCATGCAATACAGTCATTAAATTCACCATGCAATACAGTCATTCACATAGATGCCTGCACCTGTGTACAGCATAATGTGTGAATAGCCTTCCTGCTGGGAGTTTGCAGGTACAGGGCAGCAAGCTTATCGTGCAGAAAGTTAAGGCAGCAAATCTGTCATGGCATGAGATCCTTCCCTCTGTAAACTAGATGCGGCCTAATTCAGTCCTGGGAGCGAGCCTGCCATAACGTAATCCATTTAGCCTAACCAAACAGTCAGGAACTAATTGCAGAGGGATAAAAATAGTTGAGCCTGGCATTCCTCACTGTGCAGCAAGAGGCTTCTTTAGAACAGGTCTGGCAGCCTCGTGGGAGCAAAGGTGGACCTTGGCAAGATCAGCCTGAAGCTAGATTGGAAAAGCTGTAGGCTGCTGTATGTGTGTGTGTGTGTGTGTGTGTGTGTGTGTGTGCAAGCGTATGTATGAGGGATGCGGGTGGCGCTGTGGGTTAAACCACAGAGCCTAGGACTTGCCAATCAGAAGGTCGGTGGTTCAAATCCCTGCGATGGGGTGAGCTCCCATTGCTCTGTCCCTTCTCCTGCCAACCTAGCAGTTCGAAAGCATGTCAAAGTGCAAGTAGATAAATAGGTACCGCTCTGGCAGGAAGGTAAACGGCATTTCCGTGCGCTGCTCTGGTTCGCCAGAAGCGGCTTAGTCATGCTGGCCACATGACCCGGAAGCTGTACGCCGGCTCCCTCGGCCAATAAAGCAAGATGAGTGCCACAACCCCAGAGTCGGTCACGACTGGACCTGATGGTCAGGGGTCCCTTTACGTGTGTGTGTGTGTGTGTGTGTGTGTGTGTTTGTATACACGCACACTATTGCAATCCCTGGTCCTCTAACCATGTTAGGGCTCATTGCTTTCAAGCTCTTAATTGCACTAAAATTTCAAAGCCAGTTTGGTCTATAATCTATATATATTAAAGTACAGAGGCCAACGAGCCTTCTGTTTCAGAGTAGCTTTCTGTTAGGCAGCGGTCCCTGTGTAAAGTGTGTCTTGCCTCCTATAATGTGCCAGTAATCCAAGCGGCCTAAGGTTACCAGATTTTTTTCAATGAATCCGGGACACTTTTCAACTTCAATGGATTTTGTATGGGGACTAATTTGTAAATCCGGGGACTGTCCCTGGGAAACGGGGACGTCTGGTAACCTTACTAGTTACCAAATAGTGGATTGGAGAAGGGATGCTCTTCTGAGGCAACCTCAATAGGCATCTTGCCCCTGCAGCCTTGAAATGTGAGGAAGGAGTGTGTTAATTCATTGGTGACTCCCTAACCCTAGGGTCTTATTCCTCCTTGGCTAAGTGTCTTTCTTCAGTCTAGCCCTCCGTTTGCTTCTCCCTTCTCAGCGAGAGCCCTTTGTAGCTGAGCTCATGCATGCGTACTTGCTGGTGAGTGAGCCAGGTACCAGAATCCCTGCTCCCTGGGGCAGCTGTGGTTCCGTGTTACTCATTTGCAATAAATCAGTCAACAAACCTGAGAATCTCAGTGCTTCTCCTTTTGCCTTTACCCTCCTAACTGTGGTCAGTGTTTGCTGAAAGTTTAGAAAACAACAGGAGGCTTTTGTAGGTGGCTTGGAACAGATTCCTGCCATTACCCTACCCACCCACCCCAAGTTTTATTTTCCTTTACCAAAAATGGCAATCATCCTGCTAAGGTTTTGCAAAAATTTTGACCCATGTACAGTGGTACCTCGGTTAAGTACTTAATTCATTCCGGAGGTCCGTACTTAACCTGAAACTGTTCTTAACCTGAAGCACCACTTTAGCTAATGGGGCCTCCTGCTGCCGCCGCGCCGCCGGAGCATGATTTCTGTTCTCATCCTGAAGCAAAGTTCTTAACCTGAAGCACTATTTCTGGGTTAGCGGAGTCTTTAACTTGAAGCGTATGTAACCTAATGCGTATGTAACCCGAGGTACCACTGTAATTGCTTTTGCAAAATGATCAGACCACCTCAGGGATCAGATAATGGTCAATTCTGCTACCAGCTGGGGAGACAAACCACTCCCCCAGCTGATTTTGAGGCATGAAGATGTGGGAGCTTCTTCTTGTGTGTCTTTGCTTCCCAGCCCTTGCTAACGCTTGGCTTGTGTGTGATTTGTCTTGCAGAATGCCTTTGTCTCTCTTTACCTCATTGGCTGCTTCAGCCAGCTCATTGACCTTTCCACCACTGTGTCTGACGTAGCTGGCTATACACACAGGTAAGTCCTCTTGCCTGCTTGAGGGGCACCCATGTCGTAATAGTGAGGGCCTGTGTGTGTAAAAAAAAGAGCATCTGCTTCTTATGGATCCATCAAAGGTAATAAACAATGCAGGAGACTCCTGTGTCCCAGTATGGGTGCACTAAGTCGGTCTCTCTTCAGAGGCATCTTCAAAAGAAACAAACAAGGGATCTCCTTTCCCCACTAGGCATAGAATGTCAAATATATTTTGTTGTAATCTTGGTGGCTGCTGCAGCGGAGAGAATCTGAATTTTTCCTCTTAGATCAATTAGCAGGCTGGTTTTTCAGCCCATGTGACAGACTATGTACGTTAGGTGACCATTACTATCCTGCAAACAATAATTCACTGCTTACCAGGTTTTAGTAATATGTTCATAAACCTTTTTCTTTTCCCTTGTGGAGATTAGGCTTCTGGGTCTTGTCATTCAGGCTAGTTTGCTGCTTTGGGGCATCACTGCTACTCCTTGATTAGCAACTTTCTTGTGGTTTTTTTTTTTTTTTGTAGAATTGGGGAGTTGCTGGAGATGCTGCTGAAACTTTCCAGGAAGCAAAACGACTGTGACTCGCCAGGCAAATGGGAATTCAACAGGTGAGTATCCCTAGCTAACATCAAGCCTGGGACGACCGTTTTCCTGTTTTTGCTATGGTGTTTCTTGTACCACCGAGTGGTGAACCTAAAGGGCAGCCAGACACCTTGGCCACTGAGCTGTGATGTTTCCTTCTACTTACCTTTCCTCCTTTCTTGTGGTGGGGGCACTGATGCCATCAGCATTTCCAAAGAGGAGGTGGTCTCAAGCGACACAGCTTTCCTCCTGGAGAAAATCTCTCTCTCTGCTCCCTCTGAGAAGCTTCTCATTAAGGATCTAAACCTGAGAGTCACACAAGGGAACAATCTACTGATCACCGGGAACACAGGGACAGGGAAGACATCTTTGCTGCGTGTCCTCGGTGGCCTCTGGGAGAGCAAGCAGGGTGAGTTCATCAGCCTCCCTGAAACATCCCTTTGGTGAAAGGGGGCCCTTGCAGCAGATTGGAGGGTAGAACACTGTTTCCCCATAGGTTTGTGAGGCAAATGCTGGATTTGGACTGTTCAGGAACCCAGATGTAGTCTCTTTTGTGCTTCAGTTCTTAGTGATATTGCCCTCCCCAGTGCAGACTTAATGGTGGCCTTGGCCCAGTATACCTGAAGGAGCATCTCCACTCCCATTGTCCAGCCCGGGCACTGAAGTCCAGCACCAAGGGCCTTCTGGCAGTTGCCTCACTGTGGGAAGCCAAGTTACAGGGAACCAGGCAGAGGGCCTTCTCGATAGTGGCACCCGCCCTGTGGAACACTCTCCCATCAGATGTCAAAGAAATAAACAACTATTTGACATTTAGAAGACATCTGAAGGCAGCCCTGTTTAGGGAAGCTTTTAATGACTGATGTTTTAACGTATTTTTAATCTTTTGTTGGAAGCTGCCCAGAGTGGCTGGGGAAACCCAGCCAATGGGCGGGGTATAAATATTAAAATTATTATTTATTATTTATTCATGGCCACTGCCATGGACATTGCATGGCACTGCAGAACTAGGCAAACCACTGCCCCTTAGCCCCTATCTCTCTCTTCCCCTCTGCCACCCCAATATGGGGAATTATACCAGCCTGCTGTACAAGGTTGTTGTAGGAAGTATTGAGATAGCGGCCTTGGCACATTCAAATTGTGGCTTATTAAGCCAGGTTGTGCATGAGCTCCATGCACCCTTTGCTCCTTCCTTCATGCAAGTGGCAATATGAGCCAGACATGGGTTCGTATTACAGGCAGACTGGGAAGCTACAATTAATGGCTTTCAAGCGAACCAAGATATGAAGCCAAGGTTTAAAGTTAGCTTACAAATCTTCCCTGGTTTGAAAGCTTATTAACCATAGTTCCTGGTTTCCTGTTGTTTCTTGGCTTGCTTCACCATTTGCACGAAGGGAGGAGCAAAGCAAGAGCGAAGGGGCAAAGAGCTGGTTTATATTCTGATTTATTAGGCCAGGATATGATTGCGCAGACTAGATCAATTCCAAGTGTTCATTTCAAGTTTGTTACCAAAGTGTTGGATCTTAGACTTACATCTCTGTGATTCCTTCTGCTTGGTCTCTGCAGGGGATGTCCACATGCTGACTTGCTTTGGCCCCCATGGGGTAGTTATCCTGCCACAGCGGCCATTCTTCACAGATGGGACCCTGCGGGAACAGGTAAGTGACCTCGGTGCCAGATTCCGGGGGGGGGGTGGGGTCCTCTGCTCACCCACAGACTAGTTTGGTAACAGCGGCAATTCTATAAAAAAAACACATACCTGTTACAATTGCTGCAAGCTGAATTGCCAGGAAATGGCCTGCCCTAATTCAATACATGGGGCCGGAGGCCTATTAATGTTTATTAGAAAGCTCTTAGCAGAGAGAGTATTGTGGCTGCTTCCATCTTTGAACGACTGTGGTGGAGACTCTCATTTGCAGCATGTGTCTGGTTTATTTGATTTAGGTGATATACCCTCTGAAGGAAATCTATCCAGTTTCGGGTGAGTGGAAATGCACTGGAACTTTGTGCCCAAATGGGCTCAGATTGCTTCGGCTTTTCCTGTGCTTCTGCTCTTCTCTGCAGTGTGTGTGTGTGTGTGTGTGTGTGTGTGCATGAATCAGCATTGCGCTTGCCTGGGTCGTCTTTCAGTAGTTTTATCTGTTTTCCTGCAAAACTTAGCTGAACCAGGATATTAATTGCAGGCGAGTGTTCGGTATGTGGAGTGGTGCAAAATGTCCTTTGTGTGCTTACTCAGCATGGAGGCTGTGAAGCGAAAGGACCTTCAGTTGGTTATATGCACCCTATTAGGTCTTGCCCAAACTTCAGCTTGATCCGAGCAGTTTTCTGCTTGTCCCACGCTTTCTGGGCACAGATCCCAGAGGTTTTCTCTTTGCCCTGCCGTGCTTGCTTTCCCCAAGAAAAAACCCCCTTTACCACTGAATCAGACCAAAAGGCGGTAAAAACCAGGTTTTCCTAGGGGAAAGCAGGACAAGCCTCTAATGTAGCAGGGATCAAATGAGTACTTTGCATGTGTGAAGCAGTCCTGGCGATGATCAAATGGTGCCCCTGTGGGCCCTGTTTGGGCCGTCTGAAAGTAAAACTAGCCTTTATTAGTGAAAATGAAGTTCTCAGACCAACTGGAGCCCCTAGGGAGACATGCTCTCTAAATAAAGCAACATAAAGAGGCATCTGTTCTCTGCTTCCAGATAGTCTGGAAGATCATCTGAATATAAACCAAATTAATATATGGTAAATAGAAGCCCGGAGTTACTTTTTAGGTTGTCAGGCCTTCTGCTTTGCTTCTGTCTCAGTGATTACTAACTCCCCTATTTGGATTAAGTTGTTCCTCCAATAGATGCATGTTCGATTTCTCCAATTGCCTACATCTTCATATTGGGATACCTAAATTAAAGGGTTGGTGTGATATAAATCCAATGCTACCAAATGTTTTAATCATGTTTCAAAGATAGTTTGGTAGATTCCAGCTACCAAATGTTTCAACAATGTTTCAAAGATAGTTTTAGATTCCAAGAGGAATGCTGATTAAACCTGTTTGGTTTATGTTTATTAAAGGTTTTTAAGCAGATACTGAATGGTCACCTGTCAGCGATGTTGTAGTAGAAAATTTCCTGCATTGGCAGGGGGCTGGATTAGGTGATCTTCCTCCTCTCTGATTCTTTGTTGTTGCCAGTGTTGACACTCAATGTTATGGAGTGCCCTGCTGCTTGCCCCCCACACCAACACCCATCTCAGTTTCCCTTGGAGCTTCCCTCTCCAAGATGACAACATCTTCCTGCTCCCAGTCTCAGTTTCCCTTAGGACTGCTATTCATCCCTGCCTCCGTTTTCCTTCCTCATAATTTCCCTCTTTGTGACCCAACATCTCCACGACCACAGTATCTTCTTCCTGAGCTTCCAAACCTGCAAAAGAGTCATGGTCTCTTCTCCCCCATATCTCCCACCTACAGCTTCCCACCAAAAGAACTACAATATTTCTTCTCCACCTCCTTCCTTCTGTCACCTGACAGAAAAAGCCTTCCTTGGTCTCAGGAAGAAAGAGGAGGATGAAAGTACTATTCCTAAAAGTTCTTCCCATAGGAGATAGACTTCTAGAGTAAGCTCAGAAGATGTCCACCTGAGCTTGAAAGTCCATCTGTTAATTGGCTTCCTCCCATTGTTATGTACATTATGTGGTGATACAGCCTATTGACAACTTGGGATGGGCTTCCACATGATATGTTTAGGTTTGAGCTATTAGCTTTCCAGATCTTCTAAAGCACGGGTGTCAAACACAAGGCCCGCGGGCCAAATCCGGCCTGCCAGACCTCGTCATGTGGCCCGTGTAGCCACCGCCGGCCGCCAGCCTTCACCTTTTATTCTCGCTTTTTTTTTGACACAAGAAAGCCGCCTCTTCAGCGCATGCGCGACAGCCTACAACCCAGAGAACGTCTGCCCTCTAGCGGCGCCGGCCATTCTACACAGGAAACCTCCACTTTACATGCATTAAGGAAACCTCCACTTGTTTTTATATTGAGCGCATTGTTTTTATTGAGCGCATGCACTTGTTTTTATATTGAGCGCATTGTACATTTGAATATCTACTTGCCATTATTCTGACTATGTTTCTGCTTTCAGAGCTAGTTATTACTTACATTATTACAAAAAACAGTAATAATTGAATGCAGTGACAATAATTTATGATAATAAAGAGTGGACACATAGTCCTACAGATACAACCGGCCCTTTGAGGGTGACCAAACTGCTGATGCGGCCCCCGATGAATTTGAGTTTGACACCCCTGTTCTAAAGCATGATCAAAGCAGCCAAACCAAGTGCAAAGAGGTCCCTGTCCCCTGCTGACCCATCTTCAGAGTGACCCTTCCCCCCACAGTCCTGTTATCATGAATGTAATTCCTTGCACAATAGGGTCTTCGGATGATGAAAGGATTCTGAGATTCCTGGAGCTGACTGGGTTGGTGAGTTACCGAGGGAATAAATGATGCACTTTCTGTCCCAATTTGGGGATAGAAAGTGGCTATAAAAGCTCAGCAAGGTGCACTGTAAATGTCTATGGATCATTCCTAAAAAGGAGGATGCTGGGATTGCCAGGAAGCCTCACTGTTTGACCATGGAAGATTGGATTAGTCCAAAGAGTAATTTGGGCTCCATGAATTCTGAGATGAATGTAGCTCTGAGTATGTGCCATCTTGTACAGTGGTACCACTGGTTACATACGCTTCAGGTTACAGACTCCGCTAACCCAGAAATAGTGCTTCAGGTTAAGAACTTTGCTTCAGGATGAGAACAGAAATCGTGCTCCGGCGGCGCGGAAGCAGCGGGAGGCCCCGTTAGCTAAAGTGGTGCTTCAGGTTAAGAACAGTTTCAGGTTAAGAACGGACCTCCGGAATGAATTAAGTACTTAACCCGAGGTACCACTGTATTCCAAAGCCTGGGCAACTATATTAAAAACCGCTTCCAAATACTGCTCTGGCTCAAATTAAGCCCTGGTTTATGTACATCATATGAGCAAAAGCAACAGAAGTTCTGATGACAATGATGATTATATAGAAGGCATGGGAGCAAAACAAAACAAAAAATAAAATAAAAAATGACAAGATGACACTAATTACCAGCTGGCAATGGGTGGGCAGGATTAAGACAGAAAATGTCCTTCTGGCTATGTCCACCTGTTGACCAAGGCAGGAATAATTTGTTTTTCATCTTCTTTTTATGCAGTCTGATTTGCTAGCAAGGACAGGTGGTTTGGACCAGCCAGTGGACTGGAACTGGTAAGGCTGCTTAGTGTGACAGTGGGGGTCCTGTTGTTTGCTGTGGGTCGGTCTTGAGCTGCAAGGTGGTTCTAATCACAGATTGTTTCGCCTTTGCTGCAGGTATGACATTCTGTCTCCAGGGGAGATGCAGAGGCTCTCCTTTGCCCGACTTTTCTATCTCCAGCCTCAGTATGCAGGTAAGGAAGGTATTTCTTTCTGAGTTCCTTAATTATGGGACTCCCTGCTTTGCTTTTTACCTTGACCACAGACAATCCCTGGATAGCCAGTGTTGATATGAGATGGAATGTTGTGCTGAAGAAGGTAGCACAAGGGCCATCGGCTACCTGTTGGCTACTGCCTGTGATCTCACTGGTGGCAGGCACCACAACTTCTAATCTAACCATCCCAATCTGCCTCAGCTTTGTAACTGGCTTATGTTTTCTTGCTGGTTTAGAGGGTCAGAACTACCCATTGCACCAGCCCAGTATGTAGACAATGCTCCGGTTGCCTTTTGTAATGGAAAACAATGACTGGTGAACAGCTATCAGTTTGCAAATTTGTCCTGCTTTATTCAAGAGGAGACTTGGATGGTGCCATATTGAGGGGATTCCCGTATGGGTGTCGTTTTTTTGCTTGCAGTGCTGGATGAAGCTACCAGCGCACTCACAGAGGATGCAGAGGATGAGCTGTACAGGATCTGTGCACACCTGGGAATGACTCTGGTCAGTGTGGGACATCGCAAGAGCCTGGAAAAGGTAGGGTGGTGTGGAGTCAATCTGTCTGAGCAGAACTGCTGGGACAGATAAGGGCTTATTTTCACGGGGCCAGTGGTGTGTGTGTGGATGGCAAAATCCCTCTTAAAGCCATAGCTCTCAGTTTCTGTACTTACTCTTTCATTTCAGTTTCACGGTTGGCGTCTGAACCTGTACGGAGAAGGTAAATGGGAGCTCAGCAGAATAAAGAAAGACTGAGCCACTCCCTGACTTGTCATGGACAACAGCAAAAAAGAATGCAACTAAGGCCTCAGCTGGGTCACATACCAAAGTGCCTTGAAATAAACACACCTTTTACAGGAAGCATGGATCTGAAATATTTCAGGACTTCAAAGCCAGCAGGTGCATTAAGGCTTCTTTGACCCAAAGGCCTCCAGCTTATACTGTGAAAGAGCAGGGGGATTTAAACTCCTTCCCTCCACACCTTGCCTTTCTGTATAAATGGCTACCAGTCCATTGTTCTGACTGCTGCGTCTCTCGCTCAAGATCTCTCCCAGGAGGAAGGAAGAGGCCTTTGCTGCTTCCATCCTTGCAACTTCTTTAAGTGAATACAACTTTTAATAACGTTGAAGCAGTGCTGGCAGTGAATGGAGCAGGACCCTGCTCATCTGAGACTGAGAAGGATGCATTTGTTTCAGTATTAGAGCTTCAGCCTCGTTGCCACAGCCAGGAGCCTCCGTGTGGGAAGATCTCTGTCTCTGTTGTGCTCAGGTTACTGCCTTGCCCTTGGCTGCCCACAAGTGTGAAAATACATGTCTGTTTTGGAAGTTTACCAGAAGCGTATATTATACACAGATTCCCCCTTCACCCGATGAACCTATTTTTGTTTAAATAAGCATTCATTAAGGAGCCTGAAAGTGCTGGGGATCTCAGCCCTTCATACCACAACAGTGTACTTCAGGCTTCCTCAACCTCGGCCCTCCAATGTTTCTGGCCTACAACTCCCATGATCCCTAGCTAGCAGGACCAGTGGTCAGGGATGATGGGAATTGTAGTCCCAAAACATCTGGAGGCCTGAGGTTGAGGAAGCCTGGTGTACTTCCTCCACATCTTTAGTTTCCATGGAGGCTCAGCATTTGAACCAGCAGAGCAGTTAGAAGGCATGTGATTGACAAGGCTGCAATACATTCAGTAATATTACATGCAGTAATTAATACCTGCAGCTGAGGCAGGTGTCCAGACGGACCTCACTGAAGTGTCTTATTGAGATAGATGGAAATGCTGTCTAGCAGAGAATCTGTGGGCTAATGCCAACTGCAAGGGCTACTTTCTTTGGACTGATTTGGACTTTTTTATTGGATTAGAATAATAAAAGGGAAGAGTGACATGAAAGACAAAGCTTGAAAATGTGTGTGCTTGTCCTATATTGTTTTGAAGTCCAGAATCTGGAAGAAGTCATGGTAAGGCCCCAGATCTGCACAGCATCCAATTATTCTGCATACTTTTCTCTATTCATACATCCGTACCGCCGCTGCCTCTCTCCTTTTAACTACCTGCCCAATGAATGCTTCAAGTGGCAAAAACCGAGTGTTTCCCCCCTCCCAGAACCTGGAGTAAAGTAGACAGACTTGCAGATCTGTTCCAGTGTGAATTTTCTTTTTAACTTGAAGTTTATTTGGTTTGGAGATTCTTCTCTGCAGACTTTGGCTGCAAAAAAAGTAAAACTCCCAGCTTTCTGCTACTATACATAAGCCTTGGAATCCGTACACAGCTGGAAGACCTTCAGAGGGAGGGAGGGAAGAGACTTTGTGTCCAGCCTTAATAAGCACAATCTTTCCCCGTCTTGGAAAATGATGTTTTTTTGATGGTTGCTTCGGAATTATTTCATTCACAGTGAATAAACCCCCTTCCTCTTCTGAAAGGGATAATGACTGTGGAATCGCTGCTACTTGCAATATACTCTATTTCTGAGGCTGTTGAGAGAACATTTGAGCTACCGCCCCTGCTGTTGCTTCTGAATCTGCTTGTGTCCCTCAATTATGTCTTTCACTGCCTCATGATCATCCAAGGTTGTCAGATCTCCCAGCTCATCTGCTTTGTTTTCTACAATCTTCTTCAAAACTCGCCTCATAATCTTCCCTGAGCGAGTCTTGGGCAGACGTTGAGTGACCTGAACCAGAAAACGAGGGTTAGAGCAAGGCTGAGAAGTGTACATTGCTGACATTAAGCTGAGAAAGTGAAATGTACTTGAAGTCACACACACAGACACGTACACGTACGTTTGCGTCTGGAACTCTGCTGCAGCTATGCTCCTCCCACTAGTTCCTCAGGGCAATCCCTCAACCCTCATCTTGCTCATTGCCCTTTGAAAGGAATCCTAGCTTTAGAGCAACAGCAATTTGGCCAGCTCATAAAAGGCAGTACAGTCGTAACTTGAATCCGGAACACCCTGGAACTCGGACGTATTGGTTCCTGAACACTGCAAACCTGGAAGTATTGTTGTGGTTTATGAACGTTGTTTTGGAACCCGAACGTCTGATGGGGCTTCCATGGCTTCTGACTGCAGCCAATCAGAAGCCACAATTGGGTTTTCAAACATTTTGGAAGTCGAACTGACGGATTCCGTTCAACTTCCAAGATACAACTGTATTTGGAACTGAGGCAAATTAGGCTTTTAGGAGCTATCATGCTATGTGTCAGAGTGAGCCCAGGCTAGTGCAGTGCCAGACTTAATAATGGAAAGATCCAAATTCAAATCCCCACTTGGCCATGAACCATCCTTGGCCAGCCACTATCTCCAAGCCTAAGCATAGCACAAGGTTGTTGTGAGAATTAAAAAGGGGGAGAGAGAAGTCAATAAATATCCATGCCACCCTAAGGTCCTAGGAGGAAGGGTGGGATATAAATTCAAGTATATGTAGTAAAACTTGCTCAAGGCAGTCTACACACATGTATTTGCTCTCATAACATGAAATGCATGCAGGGCATGTTAGAAGGGAACGGATGCATCCTAAAGGCACTCTTGGAACCCACAAGATCCTTAATGTGGCTATTGCTGCTGTACTAGAGGAAACCAACAGTGAGAATGGAAGGATCTGAATACTTTAGCCCATTTTAAAAAATATTTAGAAATATTACTGCAGTGGTTATACAGCTGGTTTGTATGCTTCTCACCTTAGATCCTGCCCTCAGCTGGATTCAACTAACTCGTCCCGCTAGTGGAAGCCTGCACAAAGGCTTCCGTTAGTGCAACCTCCCCACTGCGCATGCACACCCAAATTGGCTCTTGGGTGGTCGGGGCAGCCCCAAAAACTCTGCACAGGGTGCTGAGAAGTGGGGAGTTGTTCCTCCTGGGAAGCTGAAATGTGTGTGCTGATAATAATAATAATAATTTATTATTTGTATCCCACCCATCTGGCTGGGTTTCCCCAGCCACTCTGGGCGGCTTCCACAGAGACCAAAAATACACTAAAATATCACACATTAAAAACTTTCCTGATGGAACAATCACCTTAAATCCCTCCCTGAACATGCAGCACTACATACCACAAAGTGATGGAAATGTGCGGAAGAGGAAAATCGCTCAGATTGTTACCTGAATATATTCTGGTGCTGCATACTTTGCAATTTCTTTTGAGACGAGCCCTCGAAGCTCAGAGGCCAGGCTCTCTTGAGAGAGATTAGAGCTCTTCTTCAGCACAATGAATGCATAGGCACCTGTGGAAAGAGGAAGCCAGGAGAAGGATGCGCCATCAGCAAGCGTAGAGGTGCCTGCCAAACCAGACTGCCGCTTCTACTCCTGTCATAACCCTCTGCTATCTCTTGATGTCAGTAAAATGGAAACGAAGAGCCCCTTCGGGTGTTACTTTTTGTGGCACGGCACCTCCTGCCAAGCAGCTGCTGCTCATGTAGCAAAGGTAATGTCATAAACTCCACACTCCAGTTTCCAGGGGAAGAAGTTTCAATGTGGATTCACGTGGCCGGGAGCTTCAGCAATTACTTCCATGCCAAAGTAAGACGCATGCTGCAAGGAGGCTTCAATATGCAATCCCTTTTATTCGGTTTTGTGACTTTGTTTTAATTGCTGACCCAGTCTCTTTTGTTGATTTGTCCCATGCGATTTAAAATTATATATATATGCACGCAACTGTGAGTGATGCATTTGCATTTTGTCTTGTGAACCACGCTGAGATCTTTGGATGAAGGGCGGTTTATAAATTTAATACAGGGGAATTCCCACTCACGCAAGGTTTCTGTTCCAGGCCACTTGTGCGCATCACCAAGACGCGCACAAGCAGAGATTCCTGCCCCATTCCACCCCCTTTCAGTGCCGTTTTGGTCATGTGTGTTAGAAGGAGCACGTGGCGCTGATCGTGCGCAAGAGGGCAGTTGCTTGTAAATAATAAAAATAAAAAAATGAATGAATACATAGATAAATAATAAAAAGAAGAGAGGGGTGTAATTATCTTCCTTATTTATTTATTTATTTATATTATTTTGTGCTGTTAAAAAACAGTTCAGGCTTGTGTTGCAAGATCTTATGTGCTCTGTATAATAAAATAGGCCTCTGCAGACATGCAGGTAGAAGTCTGGGAGCTTTGGGCTACTGTACATTCTTTTCCTCTGTTCTCGCCATCCTTCCCTGGCCCACAGCACATCTTTTCAACAGCTGGTCTCTGTCACTTCTCCCTGTCAAGGCTTGAATAAACTGGATCAGTGGTTCCCAAACTTTTTTTCCCACGGACCACTTGAAAATTAAGTAGGGCCTTGGAGAACCACTCCCCCCCCCCTTTTTCCTGCCTGTTGCAGCAACTGTAACATGCAGTGCTAGAAGCTGTGTGATTTTCAATTGCTTTTATTTATTATAAGTTGTGTTGTTTTGCAACTTGAATTCCATATAGAATTCAAGCTGCAGTACAGTAAAATACAGTATAAGAAATAAGAACAGCAATATAAATTGCGACTGAAGAGCTGTATGAATTTTTGATACAATGGTCTGCTGTCACCCATCTTACACCACAAATCCACAGCCATGCCACGGAATGCTTGAATGTTCACAGACCAGTCGGGCCCCTTTCCCCAAAGGCTTGGAACACCAGGAATAGATTTAAGCAGGCACTCACTCCAGCTACCATTAGAAGTTCCTGTGTGAATGCTGTGAGTGAATCCTTCTCTTTGCTCCTGTTTAGGTAAAGGTAAAGGGACCCCTGACCATTAGGTCCAGTCGTGACCGACTCTGGGGTTGCGGCGCTCATCTCGCTATATTGGCCAAGGGAGCCGGCGTACAGCTTCCGGGTCATGCGGCCAGCATGACTAAGCTGCTTCTGGCGAACCAGAGCAGTGCACGGAAACGCCGTTTACCTTCCCGCCGGAGCGGTACCTATTTATCTACTTGCACTTTGACGTGCTTTCGGACTGCTAAGTTGCACCCGTTTACCCTTCCCAATAATGCAGCAAACATGCAAAAGAAAAATCCCACTGGAGAGCCACTCAAGGGGGTGTAAGCAATAGCAGCTAGACTTGAATTTCTCACCTTCTCCTTTGATCTTGTGAGGAAATCCAATCACAGCTGATTCTGCCACTGCCCCGTGCTTATTCTGAAACACAGGCAGGTCTGTGGTAAGATTCACTTAAAGCAGCAGTTCTCAACCTGTGGGTCCCCAGATGTTGTTGGACTACAACTCCCACCATCCCTGAGCTCTGGCCTTGCTCCTGACAGGGTAAAAGGCTGTGATAGGCCCAGTCCCCACTTTACTATTTATCACTGTTAATACGGATAAGATACACCAGTTGTAAAAAGGGACCAAGTACCACCTCTGAATGTTTATGCTATAGGACAAAAATATAGGGTAAGTCAGAAAGAATATTAAGCTGAAGATGCTCTCAAGCAAAGAATGCTACCAGGGAATGATGTACTGTGTGAGATGACATCTTCAGAAAATCAATGTGGTCCAACTGAGAAGAGAAGCAATCATAGGTATACTTTGGTAACTAACAATGCTGTGACATCTCTTCTGAAGTCTTGTAGTTCAGGACCTTTTCTTCTAAGCCCATTTTAGCAGAACCCTAAAGTCTCCCTGAGGTGACTTCAGTAAATTATTAGTTGAGGCATTTGAGATTCCAGTACCTGCTGAATTCTGTGAGTAGAAATCACAGATTCTGCAACTGGGATTCACTGTTTAGTTTACCAAATAAATAAAAATGGAGACATTCATTTACATCCTTCTGGTTATCAAATTTGTTTTGCCTTCTTCAATTACTGTCATCCCCTCCCTGCCTTGCTCAGAATCAATGCTGGAGGACCATTGGCAAAGTAAAAGGAGTGGCAAGTCATCATACAACTTGCAGGCATCAGTCCTGCAGCAGCTGGTGGCAGCTGCCAACTTGCAGCACATGCCCATTTTCGTAGGCTGCTACTAAGACATGGCAGAGACTACTGTGACAACTGCTGCTTCTGTGAGACCTAGTAAACTCTCTATAGACATGACACAATTTCTTACCACAACGTCTTCTATCTCAGCCGTGCCCAGCCTGTGCCCACTGATGTTGATGACATCATCCAGGCGGCCTGTCAACTGGTAGTATCCCTTGCTTGTCCGATACGCTCCATCCCCAGTGAAAAAATATCCTGGGAGGATCAAAACAAGACAACATTTTCACTTCTAACGTGCTGAAGGCAATAGATTTTAAACCAGCTTGGGGGATCCTGGGTTTCTTCCATGGGGAGAGGAGCTTCACTGAAAGACAGCTTGTTCTTCATAACAGATCTTCTGTTGCAATGTGCAACTACAGGTACATGTTCAGTATGTTCTCCACTCATCCGCTTTCACAAGGGGACAGCAAGAGGCCCTCTACCCTTGCCAGGATCCAGATCAGGCCCCAAGTACCTGCTATTTACTTCTAAAAACTTGTTCAGGCAATTGCTGATTGGGTGAATTGTTAAGTTGCAGGTGAACATATCAGACGACACAGCGATTCTTCAAACAGCTCGTTTATTCAGAGGCCAGTACAGAACTGAACTGAAGGGTTCAGTCAGCCTGCTTATATAGAGCTCCAGTACAACGTAACTGTAACAATTTTCTAAAACTATCCAATCACTGAACGTCACTTTCGATCCCTTATTTGCATAACTATCTACAGTATCCCCCTGCTGGCCCAGGGTGAGAACTTCAGTACATAACATGAATGATGTTGTGTCCTTAGTTTGACTAAGATGTTGTACCCCAGTTTTCTCTGGTTCCACAAACCTCTTGAATACATATGCCCTAAAGAACCCTTTCTTCGAACCCATGGCAATAACCCTTCACTGCTCTCCTTTCCCCTTTCCCTCTCTACAATTCTGTACCTGGGTAAGGCTTCAGGTAGGTCTCCACGAACCTCTGGTGGTCATTGAAAATGGTCCTGGCCATGCCTGGCCATGCCTGAGAAATGCAAAGTGCTCCAGAGACTTCATTCTGTGTTAAGAGTTTGCCCTTGAAAACAAGAAATATGGGGTTCTCTTAAAAAATAAATAAATGAATTACAATGTAGTGTATTCTGCACATCTAGCTCATGCTGTGCAACCAAGGAAGTAGCTTGTAATTCAGCATTTCGGGGGGGGGGTTGTTTTAAAAGCAAGCTTCTGTGTCTGTGGACAAACATCTAGCAACACCTCCACAAAAATATACTTCTTATAACAAGATTTGGGTTTTCTCGTTGCAGTGTGTGAATCTTCTTTGGCAGTGGAGTCTAGTTACCGATTTCTCTTATTCCGTGGTAAGGTAAAGGTAAAGGGACCCCTGACCATTAGGTCCAGTTGTGGCCGACTCTGGGGTTGCGGCACTCATCTCGCTTTATTGGCCGAGGAAGCCGGCGTACAGCTTCCGGGTCATGTGGCCAGCATGACTAATCCGCTTCTGGCGAACCAGAGGAGCACACGGAAACGCCGTTTACCTTCCCACCGGAGTGGTACCTATTTATCTACTTGTACTTTGCGGGAGGTGCGGGAGGTAGTGGAGGACAGAGGTGCCTGGCGTGCTCTGGTCCATGGGGTCACGAAGAGTCGGACACGACTAAACAACTAAACAACAACACTTTGACATGCTTTCAAACTGCTAGGTTGGCAGGAGCAGGGACTGAGCAACAGGAGCTCACCCCGTCACAGGGATTTGAACCGCCGACCTTCTGACCGGCAAGTCCTAGGCTTTGTGGTTTAACCCACAGCACCACCCGCGTCCGTGGTAATTGTCTAATATTTTAAAATTCTTGAGCCTTTGCTAGTTCATTGAGTCATTGATTCAAATTAGCCACATCTGTTTCCTCTTCAGTTCAACCCTAGCTTCTGTTCAGTGGCCATGATTGTGACAAATAATACAGAAACTGCCTTGGCATAAATGATCAGAGAGTAGACCATCCTAAATCCCCAAAAGGATGCAAAAAATCGGGAGGAGAGATTGTGCAGAGCAACTCTCCAAGTAGGAAAATCTGTAGGGATGAAAAACTTGATGGTAGATTCCTGATCTCAAATTCTGCTTGATCCTTCCAAAAATCTTGACCCACAAGCCACATTAGACTGAGATTCTTACTAATGTGTGTCTTTTAGTTTTTAATATTGATTGCTGTTTACATGACTGAGAATTTACATAAAAGTGGATGATGATAGATAGATAGATAGATAGATAGATAGATAGATAGATAGATAGATAGATAGATAGATAGGATTAAAATTTACTTTGTCATCCAAAAGGGAAGGTTTGATGCCAAAGAATGGTCTCATGGCCATGGCTGGAAGGATCTCATCACCTGGGTTTGAAGGTCGAGGAGCAATACAGATGCCTCCAGTTTCTAAACAAAACAAACAAAACTTCAACACCCTTGAAATCTGGTCAGTAAGAGAATTGCTAACAAGAAAACATTTCTACTTTGTATGATCTCCACTTCTTTGTATGTAAAAGGCATATATGCTTCTCCTGTGCTAAGAATGTCAAGAAAGGCCTGAGCCACTGGTCTTCATAAGGAGCATGGGGAGAAGACAAGTTTCTTTCTTTCTTTCTTTCTTTCTTTCTTTCATTTATGAATGAATTTCAGGTTTATACATTTCAATAATTTTACAGTTATTTTAACATTTCAAAACTTGACTTCCTTCCCCCTCTTTCTGCAGTTCCTTAAATTTATTTTTAATATTTTTTTCATATCCAAATTAAGTTAATTTGTTCATTTATTCATCTACTTTAAATATATACTCTGCAGGCTATTACAATAATCCTGCCACTGTTCATATCTCTTTACAATTTGTTTGTAAATATTCAATAAACCATTTCCATCCTTTTATAAAATGTTTGCTATCTTGGTTTCTTATTTTTTCCAGTAAGTTTTGCCATTTCTGCATATTCCATAAGTTTTTGTATCCATTTTTCTTTTGTGGGACAAGTTTCTTGATTGATTGATTGATTGATTGAATGCATCCCTATGTGCAAATAACCAAAACTGCACGGGTTCTCTTCAGATCCTACTTAACAAGTTGTGTAAAATGATAGTCTTCCTACCTGTCTGCCACCAGGTATCAACTACAGGGCACCGTCCATCTCCGACCACTTTGAAGTACCACTCCCATGCTTCTGTGTTGATAGGTTCTCCCACTGCAAGAGGAAGAAAAGAAGCAAACAGCTTGTAAGAAAGAAGCGCCTGCAAGCTTAACACCCTGTCCAATGGAATAAATTACCATATTTTTCGCCCCATAGGACGCACTTTTTCCCCTCCAAAAATGAAGGGGAAATGTGTGTGCATCCTATGGGGCAAATGCAGGCTTCGCACAGATCTCCGCAAGCCGTGGGAGCCCGCGCCGGGCTCCCATGGCTTGCGGAGAGTTGCCTGCATGCCGAAGGCTGGGCGTGCTGAGTTCAGCACGCCCAGGCTTCGCGCAGCTCTCCGCAAGGCGCGGGAGCCCGGCGCCGGGCTCCCACGGCTTGCGGAGAGTTGCCTGTTCTGGGGGCTGGGGTCGGGGGAAGCTCGGGCTTCCCCCACCCCAGCCCTGCGCCTGGGGGGAAAATAATTTTTTCCCCTTTATTTCCCCCCAAAAAAGCTAGGTGCGCCTTATGGGACGGTGCGTCCTATAGGGCGAAAAATACGGTAAATCTCTTGTCAGCCAGTCCTCTTTGCATTCCCTTATATATTCTGTATGAAGCAGTAGTACAGTGGTACCGCGGGTTAAGAACTCAATTCGTTCCGGAGGTCCGTTCTTAACCTGAAACTGTTCTTAACCTGAGGTAGCACTTTAACTAATGGGGCCTCCCGCTGCCGCCACGCAATTTCTGTTCTCATCCTGAAGCAAAGTTCTTAACCCGAGGTACTATTTCTGGGTTAGCGGAGTCTGTAACCTGAAATGTCTGTAACCTGAAGCGTCTGTAACCCGAGGTACCACTGTAGTATATAAATATATTTGGATCTGTCTGATCATTTCCACATTCCACCCAGCAGAGCTGTTGTGTAATTTTAGGCTCTGGACTCGAATAGTCTTGGGTGAGGAGCTCTTTAGATGGCCATGGGGATTACTGCAGGTACTTCAAAGTGTGATAAGCCAGCTCCAATGTGTTTGGGGGCCCTCCTACTCAAGTCTGCCTTGGACTTCTGCCCCAAAGTCTTGACCTGATGGCACCACAGATTCCATCAATTCACCTCCTGCGAAATATTGGACCAAATATGTAAACTTGGTTATTCTTTTATGTGGCTTTGCCATGAATAGGAGTGCAAAGATCCAGTGCAATAGCTACCTGATCCAAGGATTTTGAGGGAAGATCTGTCATATTTCTTTACCCAATCATCCCCGTATCTAAGCAGTAGGCGAATAGCTGTAGGGGCTCCATAGAACTGATTTATCTTTAACCTCTCCACAGTTTCCCAGTAACGTCCTGAAATAAAAAGATGAAACCAGTTACCTCAGGAAGTGGTCATTATTCCCTGTGTTGAATTAGCCATGCTTTGTTGTATTTTTCAAGCATGTGAAGCCCAACTTTACATGAACGAGCATAATTCTAAACAGGCCAATTGGCCTCCCTTTAACTTGACAACCTCTTCTTTATCTTCTAATCCATGATCTATGGGCTGCATCCGGCCCCCACCATCTAGTTCTCCCTATCTCGGTCCCTCACTGTGATACCAAAGGGCTTTTTTGGTCTTCCATGCCCCCCCAATTAATTAAAATAAATTGTTCCATTTTTGTTTTACTGACCACTACAACTGTTAACTGTGGCCCACCTAAAAAAAAATCTTAAAAAAATACCACAGAAGCTTTTATTCATTTAGTTTAAAAATAGAGCACTCCCATGGATGGGTGGACACATGGGCAGGTGAGCAGACAGGCTACTCAGGTGAGGCAAGGAGGAATCTGGTGAAGAAGAGGAAACAGGAGGACAGAGATGCAGGTGCCCAGGCAAGTGGCCCAGGTGAGCCGCAGAGGGCTTTTTTGGCGTGTTGTTGTAAAGGGAGCAGATTGTCCAAATGTAAAGGGAGGGGGAAACGTTGGCAATGGGGTGAGGCTTGGAGGGCAAGCAAGGTTGGTGAGGGAAGGAAGATGGGATGCAACCTGTGGTAGTATACAGGTATGTATGCAGAGTGACTCATTGCTCCTTTTTCTTAGGAATGAAACAGAGCAAAAATGTTTACAGCACTTTGATTAATGTATTTATTGGCAAGGGTAGAGCTAAGAAGTGGGGTTTTACAAAGGCAACTTCACTTTAAGGCAACAGCTGGCCATCCCTTCCATACATTAACAGCCTTGTCCACAGCCATTCATTGTGTCTACTGTTTTGTTTTGTTTTTTACCTGGATTCGGGTACACTGGAGTGCTCTCAAAAAGGACTGTGGTTCCTCCGTTGCACAAAGGGCCATATACCACATAGCTGTGCCCTGTGATCCAGCCAATGTCTGCAATGCAGCCAAAGACATCTCCATCATGGTAGTCAAACACATACTGCAGGAAAGCAAGCGATGTAAGAAATGAGAACAACTTCCTCCCCACCCAACGAGTTTACATAACATCTGTTGGGTAAAAGTTATCTATAGCTGGGGTACTGTTTCCATACTGGAAAACTTGCCAACGTTCATACTTCCTGTTTTTCTTCCCTTTAATATCTCTTGCCAGACATGTTTAGAGTAAAACAAACTTTGGTGCCAAGAGACAGATACTTCTTTTTAAAAAGCATTGTATGAACAAGTCCAGTGGGAAGCAATGCCATAGAACAACAAAATGGAAAAACCAAATGTTTGGGTGCAGTGGTGTTCATAGCAATTATCGGTCTCAGTAGTGGCAAAAGTGGCTTAGCCTGCTGGCCATGCTTGTTTTATCCAGAGTAGTAACACCCTCGTTGCTTTAAAATGATCCGACCAAGTCCTTCCATCCTTTGCATAGCTTGTAATTACAATTAGAAATTCAAGAAATGCTCTCCAGGCCTGGAGGAGACATTCTTGCTTCCTCTGCTGAACAAACGATGGGTATGCATGGCTTGCCACAGCAAACCAGCTCTATCAACAGCAGGGTTGGACAACACTGTCTTTGAGCCTAATTAGGCCTGGCATAGGTCCCAAACTGGCTCATGAGGCCATTTCCCCCAAACCACACTCACCTGCCCCATGTCTGACATCATATGTGACAGGCATGGGGCATCTAAAGAGGTGACTGCAACCTTAACATCGTGCTCCTGATTGTTCCTTGCTGTAACCAACAATCATCATTTCAGTGCTTGTTGCAATTTCTGTTGCTCAGTCTCCTGGCTATAAATGTGGCTGACTTTTTAATACTGCCCTGGAGCAAAATAGAGTTATAGCAAATTCAGCAACAACTGGACTGCATGGCTGATGATCCACTTGGCAAAACTTATTTTTATTGGGTCCATTTCTTGTTGTTTCACTTCCTGCCTTCTTTTAAACCAGATCATTATCAAATGCATCCTCTAAGTTTTTTGGCTGTTGCTTCTGCAGCTGTTATGTAAAACAATACCCTGTGCCCTCTCCCCTCCCCACTCTCTGAGCTTATTGTTATTGGGGTTGCTGTAGCAATGTCATCCTCCTGGTGACAGATGAGGATTCCAGAGGAGCAGATTTGAGGAGTGTGGGTCAGCATGTTTGCAATGGAAACTTGCCATTCTCTGGGTTGCTTCGTTATGAAGACACCACCAAGAGCGCTGCTTCCAGCAGGGAGAAAAAAGCAGAAATCCAATGCAATCCGATCTTGTGGTTTTCAAAGGCATTTGGAAGCTCTGTGACCAATATTCCAACTATTTTTTTTGTTTTTCCTTTCCAGGAAAATGTAGGTTTGAACACTGGATGAATGCTTAACCCTTTCCCCATGAGCCATTTTTCTGAAGGGGAAGGAAGGGAAATAAAAGATCAGGCTGAATTCAAATTAAAGGCCAAGCAGAATAGCTCTGACTTACAGGCCCGACGAAAGGAGGTGAAATCCTGTAGGGCCCTAGTCTCATGGGACAGAGCATTCCACCAGGTGGAGTTCCATTAGTTTTATGGCACCTACCCTTTGAAAATCCATCCCCTAAAACATTAGACAGGTAATGTCTCTGTTGCCTTTTTGGCACCTACTGAAGACTTTCATCATCCAAGAAGCCTTTTAAGCATAGCTCTTTCCCAGTCTGCATCTGTACTGAAATTGATTTGAGCTCTGTAAGCCAAATAAACACGTTCCCCGAAGCGTCTACACAGCGTTCATCGTGGTGAGACACCAGTTTTAATTGAGGCTGCTCGCTGTGCCTGGCTTTGGGTCTGCTGTCACCTTAGTTGCTGTCGAGCCTGTGACCAGCCAGATTCTCCCTTAGTGAGGAGTAAATTATAGCCGGCAGCTCCTGCGCGGCTCTCCGGTAGCAGATGCATAGAAGGAAATATGACATGGCAGGTTAGCAGGGTTTAATTGTCCTCTGTGAAGTTATGGGATAACTCTGCTCTGTATGTTTGTGCGTACTTACCTTGTGCGTGATGGCAGTGTACAGCAAATAACCTGCCTGGGTGTGGACCAGTCCTTTGGGTTTCCCAGTACTTCCTGAAGTGTAGAGGAGGAACAGTAAATCTTCACTCTCTAAGGCAGCAGGCTCACAGGTCACGTCCTCCTTCATCATCTCCTGTCACAGGAAGCAGAGAAGCTCTCTCAGTAGGCTCTCTTCACAGTCCCCAGGCCTCCTTCACTTCCCCCTGCACCAAGGGCCAAATTAATAAGGAAGCTTAGTGGGACTGGGCCCACCTTTTCCACATACACATCCCCACTTCCCCAAGCTTTTGGGTTTTTTTTAAGCACATCTCAAATTCTCATGGCTGAAGAAAGAAGCTTGGCAGTATATTAGCTCCACAAGTATAGCCTCCATCGCTCCTACTGATATGGGTAGAAACATAGAAAGCTGCCTTATTTAGTCAGACCATTGGGCCATTGTCTACACACTAACTGGCCAGATGCTCTGCCGCTAAGCTATGGCCCATCCCCATAAAAATGATGAAAAGAGACCCCATGTCTTCTATGTGCTTTTAAAAGCAGATGACATTGCAACTTACATATTTAGCATCTTGTCTAGTTTGACACTACTACACCATTTCTACCTTATTGTTCTATTTCTGTAGAAACAAATGGAGTTTTTCTTTAGGGGGCGGGGAATTTTAATCAGGTAACTGTGCAAGCAGGATTAAATACCCCTCCCCTACTGCTAAAATCTCACTCCAAAGGGTGAAGCTGCTATCGGCACCTTTAAAAAAAAAAGTTGATGATCCTAATGCAGATTCCTAAAGATTCCTCTGCATCTTCCTCAATAACATCTCAGTAATGGATATAAGAAGGCTTAAATAGTGAGTCCCCCCCCCAGATGTTTGGCAGCAGCTTCAGAAATGTATTATATGTAGGAACCATCAGTCATATGTCTGCCAGTAGGATATATGAGCTCATGAGAGGCAGGGCCTTTTGTGTGCTGGTCCCATCCTCACAGAATGCTCTTCCATAGCAGGTTTACCTGGCTCCCTTCCTTATTGTTCTTAAATGGGCCTTAAACGTTTCAGTCTTTCATTTTATGCTGGTTTTCTATTACATATTCTACAGTTCTAGTTTTCACTGTTACTGAAATCCTAATACGTATGTATTTCAAATGTTATTTTAATGTGAATGACCACTCCCGCCATGCTGTTATGTGCTGGCGGGAAGGAGGAGGAGAAGAGAGGCATGAGAGGAGCAGTGCTTATCTATAGCTTATGGCATACATAAACTATGGCTTATGGAGCCACCAATGATGTTCAAATATAGCCTATGAGTGGGGTATTGGTTCTCACCTCCTCCAGCAGTAGATCCAGGCCTGACATGGGCACCTTCTTATCAGTCCTCCTTGAAACAAAAACCCGCTTCACCTTTGGACACAATTCGAGAGCCTCGTCCACTGTCTGCTTTAGCTCAACCAACTTGCCCCCTCGCAAGCCTTGGTTCACTGTGATCACTGTTTCAGACTGAGCTGGAGAAGATGAAAGAAAACAATACAGATGCAACATACTGTACCCTTTCCCCCTGCATGGGACGTGGGTGGCACTGTGGTATAACCATGGAGCCTCTTGGGCTTGCCAATCAGAAGGTCGGTGGTTCGAATCCCTGCAAGGGGTTGAGCTCCTATTGCTCTGTTCCAGGTCCTGCCAATCTAGCAGTTTGAAAGCACGCCAGTGCAAGTAGATAAATAGGTACCGCTGTGGCGGGAAGGTAAATGGCGTTTCCGCGGACTCTAGTTTCAATGGTGTTCCATTGCACCGGAAGTGGTTTAGTCATGCTGGTCACATGACCCAGAAAGCTGTCAGTGGACAAATGCCGGCTCCCTCGGCCTGAAAGTAAGATAAGCACCACAACCCCATAGTCGCCTTTGACTGGACTTAACTGTCCAGGGGTCCTTTACTTCTTCTTTTTTACACTTTCTCCCCAGCTCAAGTACTTCATATATAGGGGGTGAATTCCTTCCTCTAGAAAATCCCTTCCTGATGCAGGTAGGGATTCCTTCACAAATGTGCTTTGTTATAAAGTAATTCCACAGCCAGCCATGCGCTCTGCAGTGCTGTTGGGATCAGGCTTGGGTTGGGAGATTACAACGCAGGAGAAGGGAGGGAAAGAGCGTCATGATTAAAATGTTTTGTTTTTTTTAAAGACACCCCTTTCCATACTTTTCTTTGCATCAAGACTGGAGGACGGAGTGCTCTAATACATAAGGACTTTTGGTAGGAGAACATTGACGGCAGAAATATTTGCATATAAATCACTATTTCTGCACGCTCAGTTGGTCCCTGTGGCTGTATATAAAGTTAGTAAAAGAAAAATGAAGAAAAGGATGTGTACAGTCCTCAGCGAAGGAGGCTCTTACCGTCATGGATCCTGTCAGCCAATGCAACGGAACTGAATCCAGCAAATACCACTGTGTGTATTGCTCCAATTCGGGCACAGGCTAACATACTTGCCACAGCCATCGGACACGGGGGCATGTAAATGGTGACTCGGTCACCTTTCTTCACTCCATGTCGCTTCAAGGTGTTCCCAAGGCGGCATGTCATCTCTAGCAATTCTCTGTCCAAAGAAAACACCTGGTTGTTTAGACGCCCTCTTTTTAAAAAAACCCAAAAAACAAACAAACAAACAAAACCCCACCAGTCTCTTCTGAATCATGTTAAGGACAATAACTACAGAGCACCACATTTATGAGCTTTAGCAATGACTCCCTTGCATCTTCCATCAAAAGTAAGAGGAATAAGAAAGATCTGGAAGGCTAATGCCATAGTAGGCTAGAGGGAACTTTTTTTCTTGGTATAAAACAGAAGAAGAAGAAGAGTTTGGATTTGATATCCCGCTTTATCACTACCCAAAGGAGTCTCAAAGCAGCTAACATTCTCCTTTCCCTTCCTTCCCCACGACAAACACTCTGTGAGGTGAGTGGGGCTGAGAGACTTCAGAGAAGTGTGACTAGCCCAAGGTCACCCAGCAGCTGCATGTGGAGGAGCGGAGACGCGAACCCGGTTCCCCAGATTACGAGTCTACTGCTCTTAACCACTACACCACACTGGAGTAGCCCTGCTCTGATGGCAGCTGGAGTCTAGCAACATCTGGAGGGCCACCAAAGCCGTCTTTCCTATTGGGCTTAGTGGCGCGTTACGCTAGGGCGCCAGCCTCTCAGGGGTGCCCCAGTGAGTGGAGGAGCTGTGCAGCTTTGCCAGCGGCCTCCCCTTTCCCTGCACGCCCGCCAGCTGTGCCCCATCAACCATATGGCTGGTGGGCATGCAGCTTGCCTCCCAAGCCTCCGCGGGAGGAGAGTGATCCCCGCAGAGGCTTGGGAAAAGGTCGACCACTCTGGGAAAGGGGGGGGCACAGAAGGGATCTTTGCACCACGGCACCGGATATGCTTAAGACAGCCCTGAGGGCCACAGGTTGCCCATCCCTCAAAAGTATCACTTTATATACTGAAAATTGAGCTCTGATATTAAGACACAGAACAGCATTGCAACTTGCAGGCTGTGCTTAACATTATGGAATGGTGACTATAAACTGACTGCATTGTGGCATTTTCTCCAGATGAATGCTGTCCACACATATTAGAAAACCGTATAGTTTTTAAATGCAGCTCCCCCTCCCTTGCCTGGGTGTGCAAAAAGGCAAGCAATTACCTGTATGTAATCCGTTCCTCTTGCCCAGGCTCATCTTTCTCCCAGATCAGGGCAACTTTATTGGGGGCTTTGTGGACATGTCTATCCAAACAGTTGACTAAAAGAGAAGATGCTCATTAATGACAGGCTCAGGTGTCTGCAGTTTATCCCATGTTATGGAGAAAGTGGATAGTTAATAATAATAATAATAATAATAATAATAATAATAATAGTGTCATTATTGCCCCAGGCACTCTGAGTGGTTTTCTGCATATACAAAAGCGTAATAAATATTATTAATACATAAAAGTACTGGAATTATCGATATTAAGTAGTCCATAAATGTACAAGAACAGACTGGCCATCATCAGATTGCTGAGTGACAATTTTGCAGCTGATTTGTAACAAATGCTACAGTAGATTGTGCAGGTAGCACTTGCCCTGTGTCAACTACACTGCCTAAGGTCAATTGCACAACCTATTATCAATATGCAGAAGTCAAAGCTGTACATCCCAAGTTAATTATTTGCACAGCCCAAAACACATCAGTTGCACAACCTTTGTAGATTGTACATCCTGTAATAGATTAGCTGTACAGCTTGTATTATTTCGTTTCACAACTCATACTACATCAGTTGCTCATTTTGCCCATCTGAAATTGTAGAGGAAAGTAAGGTTCAATGCCACCAGGCCATTACATTTCAAATACGCTTCTGTTTACTAGACACTCAGATTCATTTCTTAATCCCCAGTCTCTCTACAGCAGTTATTAAGGCAATGAACACAGCTGAATAATCAGCTATTTGGTACAATGTGAGACAATTTGGTGCTCAGCAAATCATAGATAGCGTTCCACAGTTTATGTCAATTGTGGTGTGGGTTACTGCTCACAAAGTCTCCATTTCTACCACTTTACAATCTCCTTTTTCTTAGTTATTTTAAATATATATATATTCTACCCTTCAACAGAGCCAGTGTGGTATAGAGTGCTGGACTAGGACCTGGGAGACCATTGTCAGTCAGGATAGGAGGCAGTGGAAGACAGGAGTGCCTGGCGTGCTCTGGTCCATGGGGTCACGAAGAGTCGGACACGACTAAACGACTAAACAACAACAATTCTTTCCCCAAAGAGGCCAGGACAGCATGGATAGCTTCCCCCATTCTCTTCTCACAACAACCCTGTGCGGTAAGCCAGTCTGAGAAATGTTAGCTAGTCCATGGCTACCCAGCATGAGCTTCAAGGTTGAGGAGGTATTCGAATGCACATCACAGCTCCACGCAATGCCCCACACCAGCTTCCTTCAAGTATTTTGCCACCTTGAATGGAATGTTTATAGGTAAAGGTAAAGGGACCCCTGACCATTAGGTCCGGTCGTGACCAACTCTGGGGTTGCAGCGCTCATCTTGCTCTATAGGCCGAGGGAGCCGGCGTTTGTCTGCAGACAGCTTCCGGGTCATGTGGCCAGCATGACTAAGCCGCTTCTGGCGAACCAGAGAAGCACACAGAAACGCCGTTTACCTTCCCGCGGGAGCGGTACCTATTTATCTACTTGCACTTTGACATACTTTTGAACTGCTAGGTTGGCAGGAGCAGGGACGCTCACCCTGTCGCGGGGATTTGAACCACCGACCTTCTGATCGGCAAGTCCTAGGCTCTGTGGTTTAACTCACAGCGCCACCTGCATCTATAGCGTGTTTATACTGGATAATAAAAAAAAGGATCCAGTCTACGGAAGTTAGAATTTCCCCCCTACAGGCAGAAGAAGAAAAAGAACAGCAGTACCTGCTACATTCAGCTGCCCTCCGAGGAACCAGGTCAGGTGGCCCTGCTGCAGGTTACAGTTACTGACAGAATGAAAAGGATTGATCCACAGAAGCCGGCTTCTCCCTAGTGCTCCCCAGAATGCATCTGTTTGTTCCACAGATACCTGGTACAACGCATGGTGGTCCTTTGGTCCAGGAAAAGAGGTGGCCTCCGGCATGTATGCAGTTAGAGCCCCTTTGCTCCATGCTCTGAATATGTAAGAGGACAATTTGCCTCCAGGGGCAATTTCTGCAAAACAATTTCTAGCAAACAGCCAGGCCATGATCCCGGGGTACAAGAGAAACCCCCTGTCCCTCAGCCAAGCCAAGCTTCTTCTTCTCTAAGCATAAATCCTAGGTTTGGAAAACGTGGCGTCTTTTCCCTCCCACGGAGAGATGTAGGCTCATTCGCTCCTCGGTCACCAAACTGTAAATCCACGTTGAGAAAGAGAGCTCAACAGAGCGTTCCACTCTCTTCCTGAAAAAGAAACAACCAACCACACATCTACTGCTCCTCTTCCAAAGAAAATATGCAAAGGAAATTCAATCTCTTTGAAGGGAGGAGTAGGGGGTGGGGTTTAGGAATGTCCAACTGGAATAACCTTCATGCTAAACTGAATCTCCTCCTGTACTGAAGCCAGTTATGGCTTTTACTTGTATGCATGGCCACAGTTTATCCAGACTCGACTGTGTTGGCTCACACTGTGTTGCATTCCTCTTCTAGTAACTACTCTGCAATAGATACGGGGTCACAGGATTACGGGGAAAAAATAATCTGCTTGTGAAGTACAGCATGCACTGGGGTATGTAACATGTAGATTGCAGTGTGCCAGTTCATGATAAAAGGAAAAGGAGGCCCCTAGTCCAGTTTATTCCTTATACTCCTGCACTTGCTTTTCCAAAACAAACATTAAAGACACCGGCAGATGTAGTTCCCCTGCTGCAATAGCTTTTGTGCCGTGTTCTTCCAGGAAACCCAGGGGTTTCTTGGAAATTTATCACAGTTTTCTCAATGACAAGACCAATAACAGCAGGCATGTTTCCCTGAATGATAGTTTGCCTACAACCACCGAACATCCCCTGCAATGTGTTGGATGTTCTTTCTGGGGCAAGTGGCACAACAGTGAACAGGCCCACTGCTCCTATATGAACAATCATGTGACCTAGGACAGTTCCCACAATCCCTTGCGCAGGAGTTGCACAGAAGATGGGCAGGGATTCCTTGCCAGATGCAGAAAAGGGTTCCCTGGCTCTAGAAAGTATGAAAGTCACAACTCTTAACTGTTGCCATTCCAGCAGTTATATTTGTATCTTTGCTACAGGCTCCTTCTTTTTCCTCATGTTCAGGCAACAACCGATTTACACTCAGGTTATGTTCCTGAACCCTGCACCCGTTCCACCTCCACCCCATTATGCCCCCTTTCCCTGCCACTTCCAGGTCGCTGTGATGCACGCATGCGTGGTTGCGCTTAAATCAGATGTGCATAATCTTTTTTTCTCATGTCCTTTTGCCCATTCTGCCTTCTCCATATCCTGTAGTGAACTGTTGATAATATAATTTTAGGGTTATTCTGCAGGCATATTAGAGTTATTTTTCAGGAGGGCATACAACTTTGTGTGGCGCGTTGTTTCGAATGGCACTCATATAGAACGACAAAGAAAGAGCAATATTTGAAAGCCTCTTAAAAACAATTCTATTGATTATTCTCTAAATTTTTTGGTTTTTTTGTTTGTTTTTGTTTCTAATGGCTTTTTATGTTGCCCTACACCTTGGGTGGCGCTGTGGGTTAAACCACAGAGCCTAGGACTTGCCGATCAGAAGGTCGGTGGTTCAAATCCCCGCGGCGGGGTGAGCTCCCATTGCTCGGTCCCTGTTCCTGTCAACCTAGCAGTTTAAAAGCACATCAAAGTGCAAGTAGATAAATAGCGGTAAGGTAAATGACATTTCCGTGCGCTGCTCTGGTTCGCCAGAAGCGGCTTAGTCATGCTGGCCACATAACCCGGAAGCTGTACACCGGCTCCCTCGGCCAATAAAGCGAGATGAGCGCCAGAGTCGGTTACGACTGGACCTAATGGTCAGGGGTCCCTTTACCTTTACCTTACACCTCCCTGTTAAATAAATAAAACGTGACACATATGGGCTACCCCAATATGTGGTTTTGCATAGTGTAATCGTCCCACAGAGACCATCTCTTTCTGTTCTTCACAGGACGAATAAGTCCCACTGAATTCAATTGTGCTTTCTTTTGAATGGTCACGTATAGGATTGTGCTGTACACTGATGTATTGCATTTATTTTTAATCACATTATTTTTATTGAATTTTTTTGCTCCCCAAACCCTCATAACTATGGGCCTGGGCCAAGCTAGATCTGTGGTTAGGCAAAGAATCATGGACATAGAGAGACAACAGGACTGTACAGGGGTCCCCGATTATAAAATCATAGAAAAGGGGAGATACGTAGCCGCTCTAGCAACATATCTCTATTTCCTCACACCCAGAAACACAAGAAGGGCTTTTACTCATGCTAGAAGCTTGGCCTTGCCCTCACCGGTTCTGGAAGGCTCCTATGGAAGAGTCCTGTACACACAGAGACTTTGCGCCTGCCCATTAGGGGAAATAGGAAGCCCCGAACATATATATTTTTAGATGTCCTTTTTATGTTGAGATTCATAGAGTCACCATTGATCCTTTGCTGAAGAGGCTCGCCGATCTTTCAGACAAGTCTAAACTTCTTTCCTCTTAGGCAAAGATCACAAGACGACCTTGCTGGTAGCCAGATTCTGCACCCAGATTTGTAGGCACAGATCATCCTCTAGAATAAAATAGCTTACTAGCGAAATGCTGAAGTTGCCCTTTGGGGCGCCTCAGGGTCAATTTTTTATGGTAGCCCAAATCTCAGTTGTACGGGTGTACGTATATATCTCAATTTTAACTCATGAGCTATTGCTGCAATCTGCTCCAACTGTATATTTTATCTTTATGAACACTGTTTTTATTGTGTTATGTTATGTGAGCTGGTCTTTAACCATAATAAATTTTCTTATCTTATTGAATTTTTGTGTTTTTGCTCTGGAAGCTGCCTTAGGGGCCCTGACTCTTCACTTTCTATTCCAATCCCTCTGTGCTTAATTTAATGCTATTTTTAAAAACAAAAACAAGGTAATAAGTTTACATTATGGTTTTCAACATTCTCAGCCTTATAAGGATGTAAACTTAGTAGTTTCAAGCGTATGACAAGGTGCCTTGCAGTCACATCCCAACTCCAGCATCTGCTGCCAATTCCCAGATGACCTTAGGCAGTTTCTTTTTTTCCACAGCTTTAATTTGTTCTGCAAGTGGCAAACTAGCTAAACCAGTTTCTCTCTGCTACTGTACCAGTCACATATGCTCTGCAAAGTTACAGCCCCTTCTTGCAGCAGGACAAATCAAGGACAAATGAATAAACACTGGGTAACATTTTACATCTAGCAGATGCATTTTGGCACCTGTTGTGAACCACAAAAGAGCACCCCACTCCCCACCAGGGAAGAAGGAGCGACTGAAGATCTACATCAGGAACAAGGGGGTGGGAATAAAGATTTACATCAGGATCTGCTGCTCCTATGGATCCTGCCACCTGAGGCAGTCACCTCACTTTGCCTCATAGGCGGGCCAGTCCTTAGCAGATGTAAAAAGGGTCTTCATACCTTTAATCTCGATGCAAGAAACTGAGGTTTGGAAAGCAGGTTCTTCACAGGACTTGAGGGACAGGAGAAATTACTTCCGTTAAACATTTCTTTGTGGGGCACCAGATTTAGGCATCACACAGGGTGCCACTGTCCTTGGGGTTCGATTTTATTCCGCATGCTGTTTAACATCTACATGAAACCACTGAATAGAGTCATCCAGAGTTTGGGAGTTCATTGTCAGCAATTTGCTGATGACACACAGCTCTGCTTTTCCTTTACATCTGCAGGTGTGGCAGCGGATATGCTGGACCGTTGTCATGCCTTGGTAATGGACTGGATGAGAGCCAATAAACTGAAGCTCAACCCAGATGAGACTGAGGCGCTGTTAGTGGGTGGTTCCCTAGACTGGATAGACAGGAGGTTACCTGCATTTGATGGGGTTACATTCCCTCTGAAGGAGTGGGTATACAGCTGGGGGGCAATCTGTGGGTCCTGTGGTGTTTCTTGAGGCTCAGGTGGCCTCAGTGGCATGGAATGCCTTCCATCAGCTTCAGCTGGCGACCCAGCATGTTATACTTGGAGCTACCTCTGAAAATATTTCAGAAAAACTTCAACTGTTGCAGAATTCAGCAGCTGGGTTGCTCACCTGCGCAAGACGGTTTAAGTATATGACTCCCATCTTGGCCTGATCGCACTGGCTGCCGAATAGTTACCAGGCCCCATTCAAAGTACTGTCTTTGACCTATAAAGCCTCAAACAGCTCAGGACCACAATATCTCAATACCTCAAGGACTGCCTCTCTCCATATGAACCAACCTGCACTCTGCAGTTATCACCAGAGGCCCTTCTTCATGTGCCTCGTTCACAAGAGGCCCAGAGGGCAGCAACAAGAGAACAGGCCTTTTCTGTAGTGGCCCCCCCGGGATGCTCAACTGGCAAAAACATTCCTCTTCTCCCAGACCTTTGGCTAATTAAACAATTTATTACCTTTTAAACTGGGAGGGGGTGTGTGTGTGTTTGTTATTATGTAAACCTCCCTGTGATCTTTAGATTAAGAGCAATGTAGAAATAATAATAATAATAACAAATTCTGTTCTGCTAAAAGTTACCTCAAGTGGCTACAACAAAGCAGGCAATTCCAACTTTCCCACATAAACAACCCTTTTTTTCATGCGTTTGGATGGAAACCCTTTGCGAACTCATGCAAGAGAAAGTGTTGCCCTCTGGTGGACACATGAAAGGAAGCTTTTTTTGGTTTGGGGTTTACATTTCAAGAAGAGAAGCTGGCCTGGTGCTGCCATGAGCCTCTCTGAGGCAGCCTCCTGTCACACTGCCTCTGACAGTGGAGGTAAAACATAGCCTCATGCTGCAGTATATGTTAAAAAATGATATTGTGGCTAGCAGCTTTGATATTTTTATCACTTATTAAATGTGTATACCACCTTATAACCACAGGTCTGAGGGTGTTTACAACATAAAACCACAATATAAAACCACAAAATACATAATAAAAACAAAAACAGCCCAATAAATCCCCCTCCCCAACACATTTTCAAAGGGCGTTGGATGTCAGTCAGCCAGAGGCCTGGTTAAAGAGGAACATTTTTGCCTGGCACTTAAGGTGTATCATGAAGGCGCAAGGCGAACCTGGTCCTTTTTAATATATAAATCTTATAAAAAGAAGGTGCATATTCTTCTAAATAAATGCAAGGCAGGAGATGTTAAAAAGAACACTTGATGCCAGGTCAGACATGCAGTTCAGATCAATAGTGAAGAGCAGAAGGTTAATTGGTGCTGTCTTCATTCTTTCTTGTACTATATTTGGCTCTTACTTACCTGAATTTGCACTTCTAACCAATCTTTGATTTATAATTATAATGTTAATCTGTTTGTATATATGTTTGACTGTTATATGCACATAAGTTAAAATAAGGAGACGAAAGATGGAGGGGTTAGAATGGAGTAGTTCAGGAACCGGAAAGTCTGTTGCTCAGATTTTTTTTCTTCAATGAATCACTCA